ACATTTCCTTCTAATGCAAGTAGCTGGTAATGCTGCTTAATAGATAGACTTAAAAATATTCATTTTGTGAAGCAAGACTTAGTTTGTAGTTTGGAAGTGTAGTCACAAGCTTGACTTGCATGCATAAAGTGATGTCTGCCTTAGCCTCAGTCTATGAGCAAGGTTAAGTTTTTTAAGGGTTTTCAAGAGAAATGTTCATAGTTTATTATTCTTGCTAATCTTTCCTGTAGGGGAAGCACGCATACTGTTTTTACTCTTAAGTTCCCTATTCTAATTCTAGTAGTTATTATATATCCCTGATTGTTTTCAGCCAACTCTTAGAACTTTTCCAGTGGATTAAGTTGGCAACTTGAGGTCAGAGGTGATAAAATAGAAGCAGCAAAGAGAAGCGACTTGCTCTCAATGGAATCTGCAGAGAGGATTGGATAAGGCAGTTAGGTTGTACAGAATCACCGTGCTATGTTCTTCAGTCCATAAGGGTTGTGATTGGGTGGGATCATTCCAGAGGAATGGGTAATTGTGTGGCAGATTAGGGAGAGTACTGTGAACTTCACTGTCGTGGTTTGGACTTGTTTCTGTGACAAATTAGTGAATCTGAGCTTTAATTCACTGTTACTGGACAAAATTTTGAAATGTGTACAAAGTTCTGAAGATCCGGACAGGGTAATTAAACTATATGTTGTAATTACTTTTTTTTTAATGTTTCAGTGTCATGTTCATTATAAAGGTGTTTAAACTCAAGCGAAGGAGTCAAATCCCACTTGAAATGCTGCAAACATAAAGTAGCTGGCAGTCCTCTGAAAGCCTTATCTAAGCAGCCACAGGTGATGTCAAGTTAACTCGTAGTCAAAGTGGACAGGATGAAAACATTGCAGTCTTACTATATTTTGGGACAGAGAGAAATTACAAGAGGACTATTAAACGGAAAGGACAGGCAAACAGATGAGGAAAAAAAATGGGCATAGAACAAATATGGAGCTGAGCTCTTCAGGCTTAAGCTGTAGCTGTAGACTTTGGGAGCAGCCTGTGGAGAGCTGAGAGAGTCCATCAGTAGGATGTTCCCCAGTCTCAGATGGATGCTGTTCTACGAGCTGATGTCAGCCTGTCTGGCTACCCTGCACCCTACTCCCTCTCATCAAGAAAAGGTGGGGGGATGGAGAGAATGGGATCTGTATTCTGGAGGGAGCATTGTATCGTAGGGCTAGGAAGTGCCTTTCTTTGTGAGCTGAGGTTCAAACAAGATGTTGGGAGAGGCAACAGCACTGTGACCGTAATGACAATGCTGTCACTCTCCCCATTTTTCTTTCCAATGTTCCTGTCTGTCATTTGAATGCTGCTGCAAGCACATGACTCTTTGATACTATCACTTGTCTTTCACTGAGAAGATCTTTCAGCAGAGGCTGTTTGCATTGCTAAAATTTATTGAAAGTCTAAGATAATAAAGCTGACATCAGCTCCTGTTGTTCACTATGGTAACATCAATAAAAGCACAATGAAAATCCAGTAAGACGTGGTGTTTGTCAGTATGGACCAGGTACTTTGGCAGTGTGCATAAAAAGTAATTGACTTTCACTTCCTTGAATGATTCACATTTGTTTCGTTGCTAATATGTCAATTTAAGATCAGGCTGTTGAGTGTAGTTCAGGTTTTATCACAGCTGGCAGGCCCTCTGGATTTCCTGGGAGACTTCCTAGTTTGTTGCAGCAGTGTTGGAAATGTTGGAGTTGAGTTAGTTAAAAAGCAGTGGTGAGTATTGGAATCTAATTGCTGACAGAACATGTCTGTCTCTCAAACTCACTTTTGGCTTCCAGAAATCAGTCTGATTTTTCAGTTTGAAGCTGTGTGGAACATAGTCATGGAATGGCATAAGTGCAAATGGACCTTAAAGGTCGTCCAGTTTCAACTCCCTGCCTGACCACCAGGTCAGGCTGCCCAGTGCCCCATCCAACTTGGCCTTGAATGCCTCCAGGGATGGGGCATCTACAGCTCTGGGCAGCCTGTGCCAGGGCCTTACCATCCTCTCAGTAAAGATTTTCCATCTAACAGCTAACCTAAATCTCCTAAATCTCAAAATCTTCTAGTTTGAAATCATTCTGCCTTTTCCTATTGCTATCTGCTCATGTAAACCTTCTGTTTATAAGCTCCCCTTAAGTGCTGGAAGGCCACAGTCAGATCTGCCTTGAGCTTTCTCTTCTCCTGTAAAACAGGAGAGGGACTCATGAACAAAAATAACTTACGTAGTGGTGGAGGGCTGTTCAGTCATACCCTAGAAAATTAAATGATCTTTCTGTTAAAGGAAAACATTCAACATTCAATCAGTTCTTCCGTAATTTGTTCCCTTTGTTCAGCACTGTTAAGTAAACTATGATGTAGTTCTGCAGCTTACTGTTTGCGTTGACTTACAGGATTTCTGTAAGTAAACTTTGCTTTACGTGTTCTTTTTGAGGAAAGCAGGTAAATGACTTGAAAGTGTGAGGGTTTTCCTGTAATGTGATACCACATCAAAATGTAGTTTAGCCAGCCATGCATGTTTGTTTGATTAAAATTCTAAAGGAGGATTAGTGTCTATGGCAGTAAATTACCCAAACAGGAGTGGATGAAACGAACTGGGAGTGTGTTCTCATAGCTGTTTGTTTGTGACGTGAAAGCCGTTACTTCTTCTGGGAAGTGATCCAGAAGCACGAGCCTGTGCTGCTTGAATTTTCCTGCTTTATATCTTCGCAGGGTGTTCAAGGATTTAAGTGGAAAGCACCTTCTCTCCACCTGTGCTGTAACTTATTTGCTTATCTATGATTCTTAAGCCAGCTGACCTTAAAACCTTCTGTTCTCCAGTGTGAGAAGTGGACAAGATTTATCTGTTTGCTTGCCAGAATCCAAAATGTCACCCAACAAATAGATGCTACCCTGAGAAGGGAAGGCTTGCCAAACTTTTGCTTTTAATCTTCTTGAACGATCTTTGTTCTTCAACTATTTCTTTTTTTTTCTTTTGGAAGATAACTTTTTGAAGGGGAGGGTAAGTCTAAACTTCATATCTGTTCCTGGAGCCGTGATTTACTGGATCCCATCATAGTTCAAAGAGGAGAAGAAAGTGGTTTAGCTTGTGTATTTCGTGCTTCTGGCTTTTCCAATGAAGTGCGACTGATAAGAAATCTATAAAATGCCTGTACCTCAAACCACAAACCAAACCAATGATGTACACATCTGTTTTGATAGAAAAAGTTTCTCATGATTTTGGGGTTTGGGATGGAGGAAGTGGGTGGATTGGTGTGCCATCTGTACACCTTTGTGTGCTACCTGCATAACTCTGGCATGCTACTTGTACATCTGTAGCACACATGTGCACCCATCCCACCCCAGAGCATGTTGTGCACCACGGCAGTCTTTGGCTGAGTACAGGTGCAGTCAGGAAACATGGGCTTTCCACATTCTCCCTCACTCCAAATGCCATTCAAAGTCTGGGACCTAATATCTTCAGCTAGCAAGGAGAAAAATCTTCCTTTTCAGTTGGAAGAAAATGTCTGTGTGTGTAGGGAATTAATTTTAAGTCCTCCAAACTTCAGGAGCAGGGAGAAACAGCGACTGGCTTCACATGTTGGGTTCCATGTTAGACTGTAATTGTCCTTGCAGATTTCCAAGGAAATCCTGACACGCACTGCTGTGCATCTTAGGATGCAGAGGAAATGAAGTGGATAATGATGGAGCCAATGGACTGTTGGTCTTGGGCATACTGGAGTGTCTTAGTGAGCCTAAGGTCTCGAGGTCTTCAAAAGAAGCAAGAGAAAGGAGTGATGGCTGTATCTTTTAGTCAAGCTGATCTCAGTCTTGTTGGTTGCACTTCAGCAAGTTGGTTGGTATAGCTGATGGATACTTGCTGCTGGGTAATGCTGGTTCTGCAGAACCCACGTGTTTACATCAAAATATTTCTTCTCTACAATTTGAAGATCAGGCAAGCTGACAAGCCATTCAGATTTGTGCTGGGTCTGAGGGAGCGAGGTTTCTTGGAAACCAGCTGAAAAGCGGAACAATGTCATTCGGGGCATTCTAAGAAAACTGTCTGAGTGTTTTGTTCCTCTGAGAAGGCCATCTTTTCTTCTTTAGCTTTTCATTACAGTTTGAAATGTTAAATATTTTCAGAGGGAAATGTACTTTTCTAGGCAAATTGTTGCAGCAGACTGTCGTCATGTATTGCAGGAGTTATGTATATGTTCTTTTAAATGGAGTCTGAGGACAGCACATGCCAATTTCTGAATAGTTTGTATAAAACTTCAGCACTAGCTTACAGTATATCTGAAAAGATCAACTTGACATGATGCCTTTAAGAACAAATACTAAAAATTACTTCCTTTTAATTTATTTTTTTTAGTACAGCTTTGATTAGTTGCAAGAACTACCTATTTAGTTTGGATTCTGTCTTTAATTTGAATAGAAGATTCTCCTTTCACTGACCAACCTGGACTTATTTTGCTAATAATTTTAAACTCTGACCAGGTTTGATTTGTTTAAGGGTGAAGTGAAACTCTAGGAAGTAAAGCCAAGGATGAAACTATTTACAAGATCAACACATGAAGTCATTAGAAGAGCCCTCGATAAGAGTGATCCAGCGTGTCCCATGCTCACAGCTGAGTATTGGAGGTGCCACAGTTAGTAAGGAAGTGGGCAGGCATTTCTTACCTGTTGGTTTTGGAGCCATAGTGGTCAGAGAAAAATTGTGTGTTTGTTTTTTCCTGTATGAGAAAGAAAGAGGATGTACTTCCTTCTTCTTAATGTTTTAACACGCTCCTAAAACCTGTTTTTAGTCAATGCTGGTCAAGTCTTCATGTGGCACTCCAATTCCATAGTTTGTGTAGAGCTAGCTATAGAGAAACAGGAGTTCTTGTTTCACCTGAGTCTTGTAGTGGATCCTAAATTTCCCTATGATAAATAAAGTCAGAGCACGAAGATGGTTCTAATTTCCATTTATATTGTTATATTTTACATGTTAGTGAGGTGACAAAATCTAACTGAGGGCAAAAATGAGGTTCCTTTCTTTCCATTTTGTGTGTGTGTGTGTGTATGTTTTGTAATTAGGTCAGAAATCAGTCTACACAGGAACTTGTTACTGGAGCAGTAGAGACAAAAATAAGGAAGATTTCTTTTCTCAAACCAAAGACTTGCTATGTCTTACCATTACAACGAAGCCTTTGAAAATCCAGCCTACCACTTCTCAGAAACACTGGAAGTTGATAGGAGGTGAGTCCATTTCATTTGGCTGTTGTGACTTTGCCATGAGAAATCAAGTTATTTATGTGCAGGGCAAACTTTTTCTCCAGAGTTTTAGTTTGTGACATGCTTTTAATACCTCCTTTATGTTTGCTTTCTCAGACACAAGTTTTTGAAGCTGTCAAGAAGGTGTCAGTCAAGAGAAATTGCGTGCTTGGTTTTGACGTGTTATAAATGTTATCAGTTAAATTGATTTTAAGTTTTACAGCACAGATGATATGGATATTATTTAGTTCTGGTAATGTTTACAATGTGCTATAATCTTGAATGTCTTAACTTTGCAAGCAGTTATTTCTGTTTAGGTAGGCTCCATGTTAACTTCAAGTGGAGAAAGGCATTAGTCTTTCTAATTCATTTGATGACCAAGTCAGAATTTTTATGTTGAAGTTCCAAATATGAAATACCTCTTAGTATCTGACTTCCTCATGTAATATAATCAAATTTGATGATACTAGGTAGCAATTTAATAAGCATATCAATTGAAAGGTTATCTGGCACTCAGGGTTTTTCATTTTCTTATTCACACAGCAGGAATTCTCAAGGGAATCAGTTGTCTCACCAAAACCCCTACGATTCTTTATCATATAGTTATCAAGGAGAGCACAGAGGAAGAAGACAAAATTATCCTCCAGCCATACCAATGGCTTCTCTGAGACACAGTTCTGAATACAGTGAAAGTTTACCAATGGCTTCTCTGAGACACAGCTCTGAATACAGTGAAAGTTTACCAATGGCTTCTCTGAGACACAGCTCTGAATACAGTGAAAGTTTACCAAGAGTTGAAGTCCTGAGCAGAAGTCCATCTGGAAGATTCCAGGGTATGTAATTTTTCATATTAAGATGCTTAGAAACAAGTAACAGCTTGCTCTGTCCTGCAGGCAGTGCTGCCATTCTGGAAGGCTCAAGTCTCTGCATAAATTTGTGTTTGTTGGCAGTGGATTTTTTGCCTTTTTCCCAGGAGTTCAGATCTTAAATTAACAAGTAAGAGCACTGACTATTTTGTTAACAGATCAGTAAATGCTTACTTTTATATAATTAATTGAACAGTAGAATGTATATTTGAAAGAGAGAGAGAAGTGATAGGATATATTGCCATATCTATAGTAGAGCTGTATTTGATCAAAAGGTCTGATATTCTGGGTATGTTAATAATCCATAGCAGCATGCAACTTTCTGTATAATTCTGATTGCCTTCAATAGATAATCTTTCCTTTGAGCCCGAGCCAGAATTGGCATATAGCCCACGTTCTGCCTTCAGTCCTCTGGATGACCCTTATACTCACAGATTTTCCAGTGCATCAGAAGGTAAGATGCTCAGATTGTGCTCTATCAGAATACTGATGTCAGTCTCACTCTCCCTAAAATAATAAAAATTTAAAAGTCTGCTTCAAGTATGAAGATTTTCACATAATGAAAGGAGTCAGCATACGTGAATTATATTTTACTATATAATTGTGGCTGAATTTTTCAGTATTTCTGAAAGTGATGATCTTTGTTTCTTGAGCAATAAAAGGTGTAATGCCTATGCCTTTTAACTGAAACTCCCAATAAGTTGGTCATCATCAAATAAACTTACACAGTTATTTGATGAGGCATACTGTAGAGGAAATAAGAGGAGAATAGGATGCGTTTTTCAAGACTGTCTTTAGTTACTGAGTTTGTTACTATGTTGTCCAAGTGTAAATTATAGCAGTAACTAGAGATTTATGTTAATGAAAACAGAGTGGACTGAAATAATACAATCTGAGTTCTCTCTTAGACCAGCATAGCAGTTTATCAGTCATTTTCTGGGAAGAATCTTCTCTTCCCATATCTTGTAATCTCTCTGTTACAGTTTGTAGGAGTAAATGTTAGTGAGCCTGCAGCATGTGCATCATTTAGCAGATGTGTCAGTTGGTTGGGACCTTCCAGACTGAAGGATTGTGCTCAACATGTGGGTGTAGCACTGAGTAGGTTGGCCATTATCTTACTGGGGAGTCAAGCAAAAATAAGGTTAAACTCCTCTGCTTCATTGCTGGAACGTGGATGGCTTTAAGGAAAATAGTTTGAATGGTTTGATGAAAGAAGCTTGATGTGTCTGAAACAATCCCTCCAAATCAGTGGAAGGATTTTGAAAGAAAGGAGCTGTCTTCTAAAAAGAAAAACTTGAAGAATCAATGTGTACATGTATGAATGGGTTAAATGAGACAGTTTTTCACAGTAGGAGAAGACTTGGTACCACTTTCCCAGCACGTGTCTGAGAAATTGCATGCAGTCATCAAACATCACCTGGGAAGAAGTTAGAGGGAGAATGTATGTTTGCATGTAGTTAGAGAGATAGAAGGGTATATTTTTAAATTCTTTTTATGAAAGTGAAATTTGAATGTCTTAAATCAATTTAACCTAGGAGTATCCAGGCTTACTAAATAGTGCTTCTTGTTCAGATAGCTTTGTTCGGAGACGCAACAGAAGGCCATCTGACATCATGACATTTTCAGCCCTGTCTCAAGCAACTCCAGAGTGCAGAGAAGGTAGGAGTTTAGAGAAGTGTTTTTATGTGAGGTAACGTCTTGCACAGTTATGCTGTGGTTGATACTGTTCTTGATTTATCATCAGAATTGCATGTAGTTTTTCTGTGGTTACAAGGGCAGCTTGTTTTTTTGTTAAGGTTAGTATTTCATCTTTTGTACTCCCTAGCACACTACAATATAAGTGAAGCAAAATGCAGTGTGATTTCTTGTTAAGAAGTTTAGCTTTCTTTTTTAACTGATTAGGATTTGCTTGACCAGCTGATGGTTTATTATTTTATTGTATGTCTCGAGTTAGCATCGAATTCCAACTATGTGGAAACAAGATGAATGACACGTAATGTCTCTGTCTATTTTACATAGACCAGCATGAACTAAAATCACAGAATAAACCAGAAGCTTAGATTTCAAGTTGGTATGTAGTATTTTAGAAATGTGACTGTCAGTAATCAAGGGATAGAGCAGCTCTTCAGAGTTTGTCGATGTTTTGTCTTCCTTTACAGTACAGCTCTTTGTATTAGCATTCAACAAACAGTAGACAAGGATACTTATTTGTTAATGTGCAGTACTGCTACTTCCATGCATCTGTATTAGAGTACTGGTAAAAGTAAGGATATTCTAGACAGAATCATTAAGTCTTAGAATGTGGCATGCATTTGTAGCTGTGAAAATGGGAATGATTATATAAATTTTCAATTTTTTAATAACAATTATTATATTATCTACCCCAAATTTGGATTTATCATTATTTTTGTGCAGAAGAAAAACTAATTGAAAGTCTTACAAGCATGTCCAAGCGCGAAAGGGTTAAAGCGATCCAGAAAATGCCAGAAACCATGAAAAGAAAAAGAGAGATCAGGTAAAAATAGTTGATCTGTTTAGTTTTACAAGCAGTATAATTCTTGACACCTAGCTTTCAAGTATGCGTGTTTGCCAGCTGCTCAGCTTTGCTTTGTCCCTTTGAGTACAAAAAAACTGATAGTACTTTTTAATTAGCTTTTAAAAAGTTAACATCTTGCAAGGAAAAATAATTTAAAGATGGTTCAATGTCCTTTCTCTGAGTGAGAAGACTCTCATGTAACATAAAACACAATAGCAAGGCCGTGCCCTTCTGCATGCAAGTATGCCTTCTGACTGTTATTCAAGAGAAAGTTGAATGTTGGCTGTTAAAAACAGAGAAAAGACCACATGATTTCAGCCATCCTTTTGATCTTTGCGTACATTTATTTAATACACATGAATATATTTAGATGTTGTTCCTGGCAGTGACTTAGTAGAACAGTTGGAATGTGATGTCACACCTCAGCTTGTAACAGACAAAGACTATTTTAGCAGCTAACACAAGAAGAACCGGCAGAACCATCTCAAGTTGTATTGACTTGGTCATGAGCACATGTTTGCCAGCTTCTTTGGCTTCCTGTTCATGCTACAGCTCGTGCTATAACAATTGTCACTCCTTTGTCCTGCTTTCCCACAGGAATAAAGTTCTCAGAGAAATAACAAAGAAATCAGGGGGCCGTGGTACTCAGTGTGGCTGCTGTAAGCACTGTCTGCGCAGAGCAAAAGTGGTGAGTGTCAGGCATGTCAGTGGGGAACAGCTGGAGGGAGATGTAGCTGCAGTGTTATCACCATCTCCAGAGGTATTGGGCATCTTGTGGTCTTACTTATTTCATTTCTTCACTGTTCATTGATAATGACTTGCATTAGATAGGAACAGTGCTTAAGTGTTTTACAATGCATTGAGAGGTGGAAATCTGTTCTTATCATCAAAATGGAGCTGTAAAAATGTGAGGGTGTATTATGTGGATTTGAGTCCTGTGTAAGGCTGCTCACTGAGGTTCACCTCTCATCCTTTGTTCTGTAGTCATTTCGGCGATTTAGAAATACCTTGTCAGAAAATTTACACCGACTGAATTTCTGGCACAAGACTCTGAAGATCATTGGTGGAGAGTTTGGAACAAGTGTTCTTTCTTACTTTATTTTCTTGAAATGGCTGCTGAATTTCAACATCTTCTCATTCCTCATAAACTTTGGTTTCATCACAATCCCTCAGATTGTTACAGCAGAACCAAATAACCTTTCATTCACGGGTCTGGAGCTGCTCACTGGAGCTGTAAGTATGTCACAGTGAATGTGTGTTACTTTTTTCTGCAACAGATCTATTTTAAAAACTCATGGCAGTGTAAAAACTAATTATTTCTTAAGAGATGGAGGTAAATTTTTACACGATTAGAAGAAATATTTCATACATACTTGAGGAAAAGAGGCTGTGTCAGAAGTTGACTCAGAGTGGAATGTATGAGTTCTGATGGATTTGTCTTAAAGCACATGGTTGCTATGTTCAGCAATATAGCAAGACTTTTTCTATGTAGAAAGCAGTGGAAGAGTGGAAGCCAGGCTTTCTGGAGACAACTACAATAGTCTTTAGGAGAATGTATTTCCCATGCTAGTTTTCCTTTAAAAATGCAATGTGGATTTCAATATGTGATCCTGTGAATTTTACGTATTTCTGAAGCTTTGTTCTTCTAGGGATGCAGATCTTGGTGTGGCAGCCTGTTGAGCTCAGTGTGGCTTGTAATTAGAAGGAGCTTTTCAGTTTACAGAGATCTTTCTACTTGGGGCATAAAATCTCAGGCTATTTGGAAAGAAAGACTGTGCTCTAAGCATAGACTTGCTTCTTTTCTTTCCATCTTTGACTGTTTAAGAATTGTGTCAGTTTAACTGATGTTAAAGGATTTCTCTGGTTAATAAACAAGATTCTGCTCTCCTTAATACTTAGTTGAGAAGAAATGTTTTTATTTTTAAATGATCCCTGCCTTTTCTTTCTAGGGTTGGTTTTAAAGTTGTGTATTCTGTAGTAGTAACACTGCTCAGTTTTGCAAAGAACAGTCACTATTGCAGGAGTTCCGCTGTCATGTTGTAACTCAGCATAGAATGTCACATGTTTCATTCCTGGTTCCTTCACAGCTGTTGCAATTTATCAGTACAGAACTTTGCTCCTGAGAAAGAAGTGATTATGCCTTTCCCTCTTAAGAATTTTTCAGAAGATACGAAATCATGCAAATATTGATTGCTCACAATCATCCATATGATACAAATCTGTAATCATGTACTTCTAAAAGCTCCCACAGCTTTTTTGGGGGGGTATAAGACAAATAAAGGACTTGATATTTACAAATTTAATTACTCCTCTGATTTCACTGTACAACAGCTCTCACATGTGAATTAAGCCTTAGATGATGGTACTTCTAGCAAAAGTTCTGAATGATGTCCATATATTTTCAGGGTTATTTTCAACAAACAGTACTCTACTATGGCTTTTACACCAATGCTACAATCAGTCAAACGAAGAATGGTGCATCTTATAACATGCAGCTGGCCTATATTTTCACTGTTGGAATATATTTTGTCATCTGTTTGCTTATCTTGGTGTTCAGGTAAACTAGCTATATGTTCTTATTTCACTTATATTAGCAAAAAAAAAAAAACAACAACCCTGTATGGTTGGCAGGCATGGTTGCATGAGTATGTTTCTGTAAGTTACTGTTTCTAGAAGAAACTCAGAAGCCAGTCTCGTGCATAAAAACTTCAATAGATGAATGAAGAAGAAGTGCAGAATATTAAGGGTCATGCAGTGAATCCCAGTTCAAAACAACAAATCTCATTATCTCCCTTTTGTAACATGTTGCTCATGGTATTAATGTGTCCTTCTGAAATTGATGAACTAAAGATTGTCAGAAGCATCTGGGTGAGGGAACTGTGAGAGTTGTCTCACATATTAAAGTGTTCTTATTTGGGATGCTCTGATGTAGATCTGCTAGCCCAGAGAAGGGAGAGAAAAACTAACAAATCCCCACTCTTGTTCTGCTGTGCAAACCTGATGGATTTTTCCTGTTACACATCTCACAAATTCAATTGTCATTGCAGCATGGCAAAATCCTTCTGCAGAAACTTTATTAACCCTCAGATGTACTCTGGCAATGCAAGCAAACTTATCTGCGCGTGGGACTTCAACATAACTAATGAAAAAGCTGTGAAGTTGCAACAAAAGAATCTCAGCACACAGATAAAGGTAGAAAATACGGGAGATACAAAAAGGTGCAAAGGTACAGAATTAGCGTGCTGGAGTCACTCTGCCAGAGCATGTGCACAAATAAGTTTCTGGCACTGACTTGAGCATGCTAGTCTTGTTTCTAATAAACTTAAGTCTTCCTGGCTGTTACGTTTAACTTGGTTTGAACTCTTGGTTTTGTCTTAACTACTCATTTTTCGTTTCACTTTAAGCTATGTGTAAATACTTCTATGTATATATATTTATGTATTTTTTCCTATTAAATGAATCTCTGTGACTATTAAATACATGCTAAACAGAATATTGCTTCTGTTTTTCTTTTCTTTTTTTTTCAATTTAACTTTTCTCAAAGCAGAGCAGACATATGAAATGTTAAATACAGTATAAGCTGTTAAGATAAACAACTTTTGGAATAGTAACACAAAGTTGTCTAGTAAATTTTCCCACTGTACCAATATTCTAGAGGAGAAAAAAATACATCAACCTCTTAAGCAGTTATCTGAAGCAGGTTTTGCTTTATGCTGTCACCCGAGGAATTCTTCATTAGGATTTGTTTCCTTGCAGGAAGACCTTGCTGAAGGAAATGAAGAAGCTCTAAATTTTTCTGTAACAGAGAGAATTGTTCGCATTCTTATCCATCTTGGGACATGGGCTGCTTCCCTGGGAACAGCAGTAGCTGCGTGTGCTGGTGTTTACTTCCTCTCCATTAATAATCTAGAGGTAAGTACTGATCTTGCAGCCCTTCATCCCACCAGTTGCTTGCCTGAAATTGTGGCTGTCTTAGAGTGCAGCTGCTGTCATTAAAGAGCAAGAAGTCCTGCCTCTCCTTTGTCCTGCAGATGGTTTTAGAACGGGGCTCCCACCATGGTCCTGTGTAACTCATAGGAAGGGGAGAGTTACATGCTGAACAGACATGGAACTGTAAAACAGGATTACCTCTAATCTGAGAATATACAGGGATGTGTGCCAGGTGTCTTCCCTGTGGGCACAACTTGAGGCAGCATTTCAGCTAAGGTTCTAAGTTTAGGGTTGGTTTTTATTATTATTTTTTTTTCTTCTCTCAAAGCTCTTTATGAAAGGGTATAGAAATGAACTGGAAGGCCAAGCTGCCACGTTGGTGCTACCCATTATTACATCCCTCCTCAATGTGTTCATCCCATTTTTCTACTCATGGCTTGGAAACCTGGAGAAATTTCAGAATCCCAAAAGCAAGATATATGTCACTATTGCCAGGTATTTGTTGCTACCTTCACTTAGTGCTTTTTGCCTGAAGTTGGCTGACTCTTCTTTTTTACAGCAAGCTGTATCTAGGTGGTGTGGTGGGCAGTAGTGAGCTATGGAGCAGGTGAATTCATCTTCCCAAAGGCTTCTGTGCAACCTTCCCTCAAAGTTCTGTTGGCCTACTTTCTAGAATGTTGCATCTCTGCATGAAGACTTGCCCTCATTTCCTTCCCACTTAGCAACATGGTGACCTTGGGCTTGGCTTTATAGCTCCTATTGATGGTGACTGGGCTGTGGGCCTCCTGGGGGAAGGAAAAGAAGTGGTAAGAGAAGTGAGGAGGTCTGGCTTCACTGCAGATGTGTGGAATTAACACTGTATAACTACCTGTGCTCCTCAGACCTTCCTGCTCTGTGGAGTGTGTGCCCACAGCCAATGGCCTATTGAGCAGAGGCCTGTGCCAAATTTGCCCCACCTTTCCTTGATTCTGCCAGGACAATAAAGTAATGCAGCACCTGAGCTCCAAAGATTGCTTCTGTTAGTCCTGGCACTGTGGCATGCTGTTGTTATAACAGAAAGTTAATGTATGTAAGTAACACGTGACCAGCAGTTGTCCTGCTGTTATTCTTTCCAGTGAAGTTGCATACCAGTTGCCAGTGCAGTTAATGCTATGTTTTCTTTGTAGAACTATAATCCTGAAAATATCCATTGTTGGAATACTGTGCTACTACTGGCTTAATGTTGTGGCTGCATCGGAGTCACAGGTACAGTTTCAAAAATATCTCTCTTTGACTTACAATACCTCATTGAGAACTACTTTGATGACAGGTCTGTTCAAGCAAAGAGAAGTACATGTAGTTTCTTGGACAGCTGAATTTGCTACCCTAGTATTTCTTGAATTTTACCCTTGAATTTCTAGAGAAATGGGTAACTCATTTTCCTACATTCAATTTAGATCTCATCTGGCTTGCAGCATTGTTCACTGAGAGATCAGCCATTAGTTAGGATGCTAGCAAAGCTTTGGTTCACGGCACAAATTTTTGGATGCCCAAGCATTCAGGAATGTTAGATTTACATCGTTTTTCACTTCTAGATGTGCATATCTTGGTTTTTTTTTTTTTTTTTCCCACCCCTTAAAGTGCTGGGAAACACTGATTGGCCAAGATATCTATCGTCTTGTGTTGGTTGACTTCATATTTTGTTTGCTTGGCTCATTCTTTGGAGAATTTTTGCGAAGGTGAGTACATTTTTTTTTCTTTTCTAGTCTTGTTTTTCTTCATTAGCCAAATAGGTGTTTTGTTGTTGTTTTTGTGTCATTGTTTGGTTTTTTTTCCCCTCTGATAACTGTGATAACAGTGCTGAATTTTTACCTGCGCTGCAAAGCTTTTTGGGATCTTAACCACACATCTGTGGGAGATCATTACAATTGTTTGCCCTTCAAACGAGGTGAGGACAAGATTGGTTTACAAATGAGGACTTGGACTTTTGTGTTAAATTGACACAAAACAATGTTGAGAAGCCCTTGTAAATTTTCCCTGCACTGCTCTTGTCAGTGTACTTTAATCCTCTCGTGTTCTTGCTCTGTTGAGATAGAAAATTACCTTCAGCAAAAGGTCACAACTGATTTGCAGTGTCAGCCGTTATGAATGTCATCCACTAAGCCATGCAAAAGCAGCAGGGTTACAGCTGTAAAAGATTAAAAGCACAATTGCTTTTAATTACTTGTATGTCTTCAGAGTAGTTTGCAGCCAGCACAGTCCTGAAATGTTCATTGTTGATAATGTGGCTATCAGATGTACCAAGGCCTCTATTCAAGGCAAAATGGGATAGTTACCAAAATCTTTCCTATTCTTGTTACAAAAACAAAAAATAACAAAACCTGAAACTGAATCTTTGTAGCTCAGGAAAAAATGAAATGATAAAATGAGATTGCTGGCCCCTGAGAGAAGTCCTCTGGGTACTTGCTTATCTGTGTATATCTCAGCTGCCTGCAACACTGGTTACATTAAAGTAGAACATACTGTAGAATATATTGAGTACCAGTTTATGAGATTGATTTTTTTTGATTGAGGCTGAGAGCTTTCAGGGTTTGTGAACAAAAAAGAAGTTAAGGGTTTTTAATGAGGTAAATCATCACTTCATGTGTTTAATCATGTGCATAAGCATACTACCTCCTTTCTTCTTCCTCTTTTATTGACTTGCATAAAAAACACCGTCAATCTTATTTACCACTGCTGTGTCTTATGGGAATTTGCTTTTGCTAAGTTCTACTTCATTTTTGATGTGCTGTCTAATCAGCTGTGGCTGCTTTGACTGATGTGTGGTTAATGGAACCCTGAATAATCTGTCACTGATGATTACATTCAGGAGGTAATTTGTTGAGGTTTCTGAAATGAGTTTAATTATTTAGCAAATGCTATTTTTTTTTATTTTTTTTATTTTTAATTTTTCACCCAGAATTATTGGAACTACAGTCTGTGTGAGCCTGGGGGTGCCAGAATTTGATATTGGAAGAAGTGTTTTAGATTTGATCTATGCTCAGACTTTGACCTGGTAAGTGGTCAAAACCATAATTGGTATTTGGGAATGCCATGGAACATCCTGATTCAGATATTTATGGGTACTTTACATCATGAAAGAAAGAACAGGGTAAAAGCCTGGGGGAGATGATATATCAAGTACCTTTAGTAAGGATTGTGACCTGCCAGTTCTCTTTGACTGAGGTTATTACCTGCAGTATTATTGTAGTTTACCTTGTGGCCACCTGGTCTGAGAGAAAACGCAAAAGAAATCATAGAATGGCTTTGGTTGGAAGGGACCTCAAGGATCATCAAGTTCCAGCCCCCAGGTCGCAGGCAGGGTTGCCAACTGTTAGATGAAACACTAGTGTTAATGAACTGTGGAAATAGAACTTTTTTTTCCTCTTATAAATTCTTTCTGTTAGGATCGGTATTCTCTTCTCACCTCTGCTGCCTGGTATCCAGATGATATCGTTTTCTATAGTATTTTATGTGAAAAAGGTAAGAAGCTTTACATATTTGCTTCATAAAATGCCATGGAAATTACTCTGAAATCTACGCAGGATTGATTAAGTTGAGTGCTGGGACTGCCTGGAGGCTGAGGAGTTTTGTGCTTGGGGAACTGTTTGGTTGGTTGGTTTTTTTTTGCTGTTTTGTCTAATGAGTTTTTGTTTGTCGTTCATTTGCTTAAAGAAAGAAAGGAGCACAATTAAAGCCTAGGAAACTAACAGCAAACAGTGCATCTGTCAGTACAGACACTCAGCCTGTTGCTATGATTCTGGATTCCTACTCTCACCAGCAACCTGCCTCCTCCGCTCGGGGCTTGTGGGTCTAAGTGGGGTGATTCTGCTTCATGTCAGGGTGGAGGCTCTCAGAGTTCTTTGTCTCATAGTGTGACTACGTAAGACATTGTTTATGAGGTGTCTGAACAGTCTGTAGTGTTAAATATAGAAGAACAAAGCTAATTAGAAGCACGGATTCAAATTTCACCAAGCTGTGGGAAGTTTCATGTGTGCTTCAAAAGCAAACTCTATCAGAGTTCTGTAAAAACCATCAGAACCTCATATCATCTCTTAGTGATTGGAAGACTATATTCTTGAAGTTTTCTAAAACTACAGCTTATCTGTCAAGCTCTTATAAAAGAAGTTGATGAAAACTCTTGATAGATGCTCTTCCAGCAATTGCCTCCAGCAGTTTCAGCAGGATATGCAGTTAAAGTGGTAAGTGATGCTATTCCAAGAGTGTATGTACCTTCATCTCTTAAAAGGTCAGTCTGATGAGGAATTGCCAACCTCCTCGCAAAGCCTGGAGAGCTGCTCAAATGACAACGTTCTTCATGTTCCTTCTGTTTTTCCCTTCCCTCGTTGGAGTTGTGTCTGTCATTGCAGTCACTGTCTGGAGGTATGGAAGAGCGCTGACGTTCATTTCCACTACATTGTGTTGTGTGACCTGATACCAGGCAGAGAAAATCTGTACTAACTGCTAGTGGCAGGTTTCAGATGTTCATAGTGTTCTGTGTTCTGCAAACAGGCTCAGTAAGTTTGCAAGAATGTGGTTAATGCAGTAACTTGTCCCATAATTAAAGTGGGAGGTCAGACAAGATTGCTTTCAAGTTTTGGTATTCTATGTTAATGTCACAGAAAACTCTTTGATTTGGCCTTTCCTGCTCCTCAGAAGTTTCTGTGACCTTGCCTGCTCCTGGGCTTAAATGCTATGGGCCATACCAGGTCTGCAGTGCAGAATACCTGGAAGAAAACAGAGCAGGTCAACTTCTGAGCTTCTGGATTATTTGCAGATTTCAGATGGTTTTCTTGTTTGTTTTTTAAAGAGTGTGCAGAGCTCTGCAATGAGGCATCTGGGTTGCTAGCAGTGTTTTAAAGCTGCTTTGTTTATGTGTTGTTTATGTGTGTTACTCTTGTCACAGTAATGATGGAAACTCAGATGCAGCTCTTTTTCTTAGCAATTCTCAGCCACGTGACTTCATGTGTAGCCACCTGTCTTACTAAATAAAAACAGATGAGGTGATGTACTTCAGAAGACATATTTCCAGGGGCCAGGTGACAATTTTGTTCTGTCTGGATTGGTCCAATTTCAAAGCAATCAACATTTCTCTATTTCCATCTGCCCCAAAATGTTAATTTTTGTTAAGAACTGCCTCATTTCACCACAGCCTGTTGTTGCTGAAAGTTTACAGTGATTTGTGTCCTGGAAGGCAAGGTGTGGTGGTAGTTCCATTATGCAGCTGTGCTGCAATTTTGAAAATACAGATTTTCAGACTGCAGTAGTCTGCTGCAGTGATTTGTTGCATACAGTGCACGTGGCTTAGTAGGGATCCGTTGCAGCATCTCTTATCTCTGACTGCAGTAGTCTCAGAGGTGTACTGAGGTGGAATTTTAATGTCCTGGAGCTGACCCCAAAAAAGTCAGCAATTATAGATGATGTCATTCTGTGAGGGTCCCAAAGAAATGGAGGGCAGTAGCAAGGCAGAGAACAACATTGCATTGAATTAAATCCCTTGTTAGTATATGAAACATTAAATAGCTGCTTTCTCATGCTTTCAGGTTGAAACCTTCAAAAGAATGTGGTCCTTTCCGAGGTCTGCCTTCTATATACACAGCAATTTCTGAGTGGGTAAAAATACTGGAAAACTACATTGATTCCAGATGGGTAGCATGGGTCTACTACAACTTAATTACAAGTGAACTTTTCTTCTTCATCCTCTCCACCCTTATCCTGTAAGTACCTGCTGATGAAAAGGACGTGAAGTGGAAAAACCTGGTTAGGCCATAGCCATTCTCTGTAACAACTGCAAAGTGCATTTTAGAATATCAGAAATGATTAATATAAGGGAAATTAATGTATTTGAAGTATGTAAAGAAGTTATAAAACCTATTCCTTCTATGTTATGATGCCAAAGCTCTCTTTGTTTCATGCTAACTGAAGGATGTACTGCTCTTTAATTTAATATTTTTAGTTTAGTTTAGTGAGTTGGCTTCCAGGTCTTATTACCACTGCCATTCTGAGCTTTAGGAACATCAGTGAATGGGAACGTACTGCATATGGTTGGCAGGATAAATTGCTTTATTTATTTATTTATTTAAAGAGATATAAATCAGTAGGAAAAGATCTGTCATTCACAAGGAGTAGTAGTACGTGTCAGATCTATACTAGAACCTTGGGCAACATTAAAAAAAAAAAAAAGTGGAGGTTTGGTGGATGGCTGTTTTGTCTTTGACCATTTTTCTTCTGTGGAGTCACTTGTGGAATGATGATACCTTGCAAAAATACCTGAGTTAATGTGGGGACACTGGTGGAAGGGCATGGTGGTGCACAAATGGCATGTCAAAGTGAGCATGCAATGTGGGGAAATGCTCAAAAGTCAGTTGTGGTCTACTTCAGCCAATCTCAGGTAAATTCCTGTACTGCCCATTGGCTAAAGTTACTTCTATAGGTACAAATGGTATGTGCATCTTTAAGGTGCTGGCAGAGTTTGAAGTTGTAGCTGTGCTGCTGGATTATTTTGTTGTGCACACCTAAGAGCCCAAACCTGTTCTAACTAAACAAGCTGCCAGTCATCCTAGAGCAAATAAAATTGGCTTGGAAGCAGAAATTGTTCAGTGTTGTGACTTAAGGTCTGAGTAAATGACACAAAGTTGGATAAGAACACTGTGCTCTTGTTCGTTGTCTGAAATGTACCTTGTATTGTTGACCTGCTTTAATTGTGCCTCTCATCTTGAATAAGATCCCATAAATCTTTGGGTCTTTTCCAAGATAATGTCTTAAGCAATTTCACGTGTTTGGCATTCCAGATGTAACTGTGTATATGTATGCAGATATTTATGTTTGTGTGTATACCTGTATATTTGGTGGATGAAATGAAGATAAATGTCTGTTTAAGCAATGACTGGGAGGAACACATTGGTATGAGTGTTCATCTTTTGGACTTTTTTTTATTTAGAGTTATTACTTACCTTTACTGGCAAATAATAAGAGGAAGAAGAACCATGGCCAAGCTCTTATGTGAGCAAATTGTTAATGTAAGTTTGACTTTCAGCTTTATTTTGTTTAAAATTTTGGTTTTCTTGTTGATTGTCTCACTCTGCTGTTGTGCAGCTGTAATCTGCTTTTCCTGCAGCAATGCAGAGGAAAGTGGAAGCCCTCCTGTATGTCAGCTGTGGGGAAACTACTCACAAATAGTGTCATTGCAAAGGAATTTTATGTTCAAACTGTGCTGCTGCAGCTTCTTTTGTAGATCAGTTACTCGTAGACCTTGAACCTTGAATTATTAGTCCATTCCAGCTAATGATCAAGTGTGTTTTATGTGCAGGAAGGAAAAGATAAAATGTTTTTACTTGAGAAACTACGGATACTACAGAGAACAAAAAACATGCTTGCACTGAGAAGACAAGACCAGCAGGTCAGTCTGGTAGCTCAGATACCACTGTTTCAGTGATGTGCTCATAACAATTGTGTGGGATTCCTCTAGACTTGTGAAGATGCTGCCATTTTGGCTATGTCTGTATTTAAAACTTAAAGTGCTTGCTTCCTAGCTAGCCCCAGAAAACAAAAGGGTACTTGGAAATTTGCTCACGCAGAATTTAACCTTGGAGCACATATGGAAAGGTCTTTGCCCTCATTAGAAGATATTTATGATTCTGAAGCTGCAGGAAAATACTTGTAGCCTCATGTGTAGTGATGGTCAGTAAAGAGTTTGGTCACACTTGCACATTGCCTAGAGTAAGAAGAATGCTGCCTTCCTCCTCTGACTCCAGCTTTCCTTTGGGCTTTATGTTCTGTGCCCTTTCCACCCATTTTTTCAGCTGAATTAAACCGGGTGCCCTGACTTAACTCCACACAGCATCGTTTGACACCTAATATTTTTAATTTGAAATCGCTTTGTCCAGTCAGTGCTGCTAGCTGAACCATCAAATGAGTGTTAAAATGTGCACACGTAGGTGCTCTGTAGTGTTTAATTTAGGCTGAGTGAAAACTCTTTCCCCTACATAGCTGAGAAGCAGAAGGGTTTGTTAAACCCACAGGAGTATCTGTCCCATGGAGAACAGCTTGCCAGTGCTATTTGTCTGCAGTTGCTGCTCTGCTCTGCATTTGCTCAGTGCATTTTTAGAGCTTCAAAATAAGGCAGGACCGCTTTTATTTTCTTCACCCACTCAGGTTAGTACAGTGCTGTCTGCAGAGCACTGAGGTTGCATCTCTGTATCACTGTGAGATGGGATTCTGGACTACACAAAGGAAAAAGCCTTGGCACTCTGTTGGCAACATATCAGATTGCCTTTTGCTTATTAGAACTCTCCCTAAAGGAAGGGTAACAGATGTGGATGCTGACCATAAAGCCACAGTTGGAAGCCATCGTGTATTACTGCTAATGTCAAATATTCTGTCTTTCAGAGAAGTTCTTTATCTCGCTCATCCACGCCACCTGCCCAGCAAGAACCAAACTACCCAGAAAGGACATTTGACAGAAATCAAAATGCATCCTACAAAGAGGTGAGAGTCAGAGATAGCAGTCTCTGCTTGATGGTCATTGTCTATATCATGCCCTAGGCTCTACATAGGGACATTTGTTGGACAAAGAGGACATCCCTTATGTGTAGAAATAATTCTAATTTGAACTGAAAGAAAATATAATTGGAGTAGCTTGTAGTTGGAATTGTAGCTGGAATATTTGTGCTCATAGTCCTGCTTGAGATGTAGAGGTAGTGTGGCTTTCTTATGGGTAAAGTATAATTTTAAATACAAGATAACAGGCATGTGAGAACAACGCTGACTTACATCTACCTGTGAATTTTGTTTCCAGTATCCTTATTCTGCTGGGATCTCGAGGGGGGCTGGCTTCCCATCTGGTAAGCACAGAGAAAGTGATGTTCGTAAGCTCAGCTTACAAATGTTTGATTTAGTATAGACAAGATGCAACAGACTGAGGTAACAGACACTTTAGCATCTTGTAGAAAAAGAAAACAAAAAGACTGAGTTTCTGGGGGTAAAATTCTTCATAGAACATGCTTATTGGTGGCTTGTTGTGATGGTAGCGTTGACTTCTGAAGAGCGATCACAAACTTCTGTACACAACAGCTGAACTTCTTTGGGTAAATGAGACATTTTGTCTTATGGGAACATAGGAAAGAATATTAGATCATTAAGGGAGTTCTTCGTGTTTCAGAAGTGGTTGTTAACAGTGTGGATTTCCTGGTACATTGTGCGGTGAGAGTAAAACAGCACTGAAAACTTGCACAGTAGCTTCATGTTTATACAAACATGTTCCTTTAAGTAGATGAGATGTTTAAATAGTGCGGGGCTCTCTAGTAGAGGGTGGTTATTGTACCTACATCAGCACACTTTAATTTACTTCTCTTGTGAAAAACAGATTGGGAAACATCGCAGCCAAGCAGCAGCTCAGGGATGTCTGAGGCAGTGGCACTCGCTCTGCGTGCGAGGCAAGCAGCTCAGTGGGAAGATTTAAATGACAACATCGATTTTCGACCATGAGCAGGCAGCAATGGATGCTGAGTAACCCATGGATGTTCTGCAGAAGGCAATACTGATTCACACGACTGAAAGAACCACTGTTTTTTTTTGGTTTTTTTTTCCCCTCTCGTGGAAGAGAAAAAAGAGGTTGCAAAATGCGAGCTGAGCCAACTGAGCATTGGTCAAATACAGAGAAAATAAAATGAAAGCACAGTTGTTTTTAATGACTGTGATGTTTTAATGGATGCAAACTGACTTGTGTGAATGATTATGTTACTCCTATTGTAGTTGCCCTTCTCTGAGACATTTATGTAGGCTTTGTTTAACACCAGCTTGATGAACTCTTAGAAAAAAAGAAAAAAAAAAAGATTGCTTATCAAAATTCTCATCTGTGTAAAACCACCCCTTAGAAACAAAAAGGTTGTGACAACTTGTCCAGTTTGGAATAACACAACAAGGACTCTTCTCAAGTTTACTCTCACTTCTTTTTATTCATAGTCACAACTTTGCTATGATAATAAGCTTTAGATTTAAAAAAAAAAAAAGTATTGTTTTTTTAGCCTGTCTTTTACTAGTGCATGGTTTATTTATTTATTCCTCCCTAGCTGCTTTGGGCAGAAGTGCCTACGAAAAAGGTCAATCTGCTCCTTAAAGTTACAGTTTGTGTTAAGGACAACAGAAAACAGGTCACCAAAGATACAGAAAAGGACAAAACATACACTCAGGACCAGAGATGGAATTTTATTGTTTGTGCATGCATAGCTGTGGAGTCTTGCTGCTTGCACTATTCACAGCAAAGACAGTAACTCCACTGTGCCAGCAACCCAAGTAGCAAAAAGGAGACCTTTAGAGAAAGGATCCCTTGCTGTGAAGGCAGCTCTTCTGAGCAGAGGCTGGAGAGTGACTGTAGAGCACAGCAGTAAACATAAAGATTGGCACTCAGGGCTGGCCACAAACTAGATGGAGGTGTGACAAATGTACAGATCATACAGCATGTAAAGCAGAAGACTGAGATTGTTGGTTTTTGCACTACATAGTGGATGAGTGATGTGATAGGAAAAATACATCAGGGAATTCAGCATGCCCCCTGTAGCAGAAATGGTAAGTCACAGCCTGAACCAGTGATTGAGCACCTGGTGGGAAGGCAGGGCCAAGCCATGGGAGCTCAGGTGTGTGCAATGCACGAGTGACTGGAAGGGGTGGAGTTGTGACCTCATTTAAGGATTGGCAGTGGAGGCAAGGATATCTCACTGGCAATTCCTGCTACCTGAAGCCTTCCAAAGGTAAGCAGTTTCTTACCTTTGTTTCTGTGTCCATGGCTGCTGCATTGAACATATCCTCACTTGCTGCAGCCTAGGACTTTGCTACTATGCTGTCATTGCATTATAGGATTACACGCCCTTATTCCCATGTTTCTTTGTGCTTATGTGTAGTCCAAGATAAAAAGAAAAAAGCCACCCCAGCTTGCAGAAGCCAATTGTAGAAGCTTGCAATTGGCTAATTACCCTTGCATTTCTCTGTGAGAATAGAGATTTGTTTGAAAAAAAACAAAAACAAAAAATAAAAACCCCAAAACACTGTAATAGTGTTGTCACTGTCCATGTGGCAGCACCTGGAGCAGCTCTATTCCCAGCTGGGGTTGGTGTATGAAGCTATTTCCAGAATGTATTTGATCTTCTCATCATTGTGGCAGATCGCAAGTGCCTCTGCTGCTATCATCCAGGAGAGAGCATGTGCCTTCATCTGAGAACATCTCACAGAATTTGAAACAAACAAACAAGTGTTGTTATAACCAGACTGGAAAGCTATGAATGACACATGCCAGGCAGGTTGCACGTTTGAGTGCTGTCGCACTACATGAAGAAGATGCAGTTGATCTACCACTAGTTTAGAAGTCTGAACTTCATTGGGACAATTGTACAGTTCTTTCCACTTACAACTGATTATTTTATTTAAGTATCTTTTGCCTCTTTAAGTTGATTTTGAATATCAGCTAGCTCTGATATTTAATTCTAATTGAGGAGCACTATCAAGAACATTTATATACAAAGCAGCATACTGAACTGCACCAGTGATCCATGCAATCTGCTGTTCTGTTGCTGCTAAGTGCAGGTTTCCTATAGCACAACACAGTGCTCAGAGTATTGTGTGGTATTCAGCCCAAACAAGGAAACAGTGACTGCAACAACTGAGTAGCACAAGGAATTGCCCTACCAAAACACGATTGCACTTTCTACAAGATGCAGCACAGCCATCTCTCCATGAAGGAGGAGGGAAATATACCTGCCCTCTATTTTGGCACCATATTTCGCTACTGTTCTCAGAACAGTAGTGTAGATGCTTTTAAGGTACCATAAATAATCTCAAATTATTACAGTTATAGAACAAACTTTCAAGTACTAGAATCAAGGATGATGACTGTTCAGTACATCATCAAAAATGGCTGATATGACTTTATAACCAGGACTAAACAAACAAAGGAAGAGTCAGTTTGCTTTTTGTTGGTAAATCACACCTGAGTAAGACAGCTTCTGTTAGTTGGTGAGTCCCTAGAAGGCCTAGTAATGAGGATCACAGTCTTCCACCAAGCTGTCTGTGATGTAGCTGGATTCAAGGATGGTTTCGTAGTATGTTTTTTCTGCAAATGTGTTCACTGTCCAGGCAACCACTTGAATTCCTTTTGAGGACCAGTGCCTCACGTAATCTCTGTAAGGAACAAACACATGGTATTTAAGGCAGACAGTACTGAGGCTAAAATTGAGTTTCAATCTTAACTTTGGTAGCCCATCAGGAATGACAGCATGTTATCTTCTGCAAAATGTCATTTTTTGTGTGTTTTGTTCTTGTAAAAAGTAGAGGCTTAAAGAATAAAATAGCATGTAGTAAATTAACTATCTATACAATCTTACACAATACTACAGAGAAGATGATGGTTAACACGTACTGTTTTAACTCCACCCTTGTATACTGATAGAATGATATTGCCTCCTGGTACATCGGTGAGCTTTGGCACTTACTGAGAAATAAAATTTTTCTGGATGAGGAAAGCTGAAACCCCACATAATCGCCACAAGAAGCTGTGTAGGCTCCAATCTAGAATGACATCCAGCATCATATACAAATAATGTTTCCAGAAGGAACTGAAGCGAGGTGTCCCATCTCCAAAGTGACTCAGCTGCCAAGGTCTGTATGTCAGTGCTGTTACCACGTTTCTGTCAGCTTGTCTCATCTGGAAGGTCCAAGGAGAAAAGATGAATGCACACAAAGCCTGCATTAAACTGGGAGCAGTTAGATACTAACTGCTAGCTTGAATGTGCAGCTGTATCAGAATCCTTTGCCCCTTTTCCCCCCAGGTCCTTTTGTAACTTAGAAAGCTATATATGATATTGTTTTTTTCTTAGATCTGTACAGAGTAAGCAACTGCTATTACATAAAAAAAACATAACAGTGATGCTGGAACAGAACATTCAGGAAACTGAATAAAATACATGTAAATGGCCTTAACAACAACAATTAGAAAGCTGTGGTAAGAAAAGTTTGTATTTACATCAAAAGATGATATTTAACTGCTATCTTGCACACAGACACCTAATTGGTTACTGGTGCACTCATTTCTACATAATGTTGACAACAGAGAGAATTACTGTAGGTTCAGAATACGTGCATCTAAGGAGCACAGTGTGATCTAATCAGATCATGCAGTAGACTTAGGATTTACACTTCATTTGTTTTTAATGTTTTTGCAATTTCAGCAACCCAAAAGTACTTTGGAAGCTGTGTATCTTTACTGAAATTCCCAGACAGAATTTAAAAGTCACAGAAACTTTGAGGAAACATCACCTTATAAACAACATCTGGCATGAAAGAACAGACTATGCTGCTGTTATACAAACGAGGAAATTCCAGGTAGAGTTGTTTTAGGGCATCAACTGCCTGCCAATTAGAGATACACACAGATGTTATATTTACAAACACACATAATATTTACTTTATGCTGCAAAGTCATTTCATTTCTTTAAAAACACTTTCCTGTTTTGTGTAGCAAGTCTGAAATGGAGAGGAAGGGAGAAAAAAAGGTTTTATAGCATTATCACACAAATGCCAGTATGGTTTTTGCAACAGAAGTCCTTATGTTGGAGCAGGTCCAAAGGAGGGCCACGAAGATTATCAAAGGGCTGGAGCACCTTCTGTGAAGAAAGGTTGCAGGAGCTGGGTTTGTTTAGCTTGGAGAAGACAAGGCTCCAGGGAGCCCTCACTGCAGCCTTCTGGTACTCGAAGGGAGCTTACAAGCAGGAGGGGGGCAACTTTTTACACGGTCTGATAGCAACAGGACAAAGGGGAATGGCTTTAAACTAAAAGAGAGGAGATCTAGGTGAGATGTTAGGAAGAATTTTTTTTATTCAGAGGGTGGTGAGGCGCTGGAACAGGTTGCCCAGAGAGGCTGTGGTTGCCCCATCTTGGAGGTGTTCAGGGCCTGGTTGGATAAGGTCCTGGGCAGCCTGATGTGGCTGGCAACCCAGCCCATAGAAGGGGGTGGAACTATGTGATCTTCTAAGGTCTCCTCCAACCTAAGCCATTTTATCATTCTATGATTATGATTCTGTTTAAGAATGCTACTCACTGCTCTCCTGTTTGAAATACCCTTAAATAGATTATAGAAAAAATGTGAAGAAGGCTTAGTAAGGCTTAGTTCAAAGGGAAAAAATAATTTATTTCCACATTTTACTAACTTGCATAAAATGTTTATGACTGCTCACCTGTATCTCCCTTCAGTAATACAAACTAGAGATGATTGGGATCCCTAGCTGGAACTGAAGATCAGATACTGGGTTCCCTCAGCACAGGCAGGGAATTTGCTTTGCTTTATTGTGGTGATGTTGAACTCAACAGCCATGAGTCAGTCGAATTTTGAATTGCCATTTCCCAGAACAAAGGAATGGGATGAGGGAACACATTGTCTTTATTTCTGACAGCCTAGCTTTGGGTGATGCAATCAGCAGACCCATTTTCACTCATGTTAGAGAAGGCACTGTACCAACAAAAAAAGGCTGAAAACCCAAAGAAGGGGTTATAGTACAATAAGTGGTACCTGATTTGCATGGCCTTTGACATCAAAGTAGATTGTAAGATTGTGCTGCAAAGACTCCACTACAGCTTCTCTCAGAGTTGGGACCTTTTCATTCTGGAATTTGCTCCTGTAGAAACAGAGAACTCACTGAAACGCAGTCAGGACGCACACATACATCCCCAAGTACACAGAACTGTTTCCTAGGGATTCCTAAACACAGTCAAGAGAGACACCAGCACTAGGGGTTAAGCACCACTAGCAGTGGCAGCAGCAGCTGATGCTGTGTAATGCTGCACAGCTGCAAGGATCTTTCTTCTTCCCTCAGAATCCCACAGCTACACAGCTCTATCCTTCCAAATTCAAGGTCTAACTTGATGCTTACTTACTGACCCCACTGAAATACTTGTCTCAGTCTTTCACCTCCTCTCCTTTGCATTCAATCCCAGATGCTGACCACCTATCCTCCCACTTCATCCCGCTTCGATGGCATTCCTTAGCACTGAGACAGAAATGCAGATCCTGACAGAATAAGCAAGACAAAGTGAGTATCCAGAAGCAGCTTCACACAGCAATATTATTCCTGATTGGGTGACAGCAGCTGCAAAAGTTCTCAGGTGATTACCTTCCCATAACAGCTTGGGAAGATGCTACTTGGACCACAAAGGAGTCTACATTACATTTATTTACCACAGCCTGTGTTTTGCAGATGGATTAAGCTTCCTAATTGCATCAAAAGTCAGGTCACGCAATCTTCCAGACCCATCAGTTGTCCTTTCTACTGTTTCATCATGCATTAGGATGGGAACGCCGTCCGCAGTAAATTCAAGATCCAGTTCAACACCCGTTGCTCCATTTTCAGCTGCCTTGAAAGAAAAAAAAAAAAATCACAAACATAACAGAAAGTGCATCTTTACAGAATTAATGTAGGTGCTGCTGTCACTTATCTGTATTCTGGCAAAAATTAATAAACGACTAATGTTCTTTTCTGTACGCTTGGTGCAAAAGACAAACGCAGGTCTACAGATCAGTGGAATCTGACCTGACACCCCCGGACTTTTCCTCCTTCCAGCACCGCCCCGAGGCTGCAGCACCGCACGCTGTGCTGTGACCGCCGTGCAGGACGCACTCGGTCTGGCTGAGTTTTACCCCACGGGCGTCAGCTCAGCGATCGGCCCGTCCGGATCTTCCTGCGGGGCTCCGTACCCCCGGCAGACCGACAATTCGTCCCAGCCCGGTGCCACCCACAACCTGAGGGCGCTCTCCGTGCAGGAGCGCAGCCTACGCACAGGCTTCCCCTGCCGCAGAAGCACGGGGCAGGAGAAGGCTGCCCTTCGTGAGCGCACGCCGGCCGGGCCGACGCCCCGCTCTGCAGGGCCGCTCCACGACCTTCCCCGCGCCGAGGTCAGGCCGGCAGCCCGGCAATTCCGCCTCCCGACTTCGGCCCCGGCCCTGCGCGGCCCCGGCGCTCGGCGGCACGGCCGGGCTGACCTGTCGGACGGCCGCCAAAGTGTTCTCGGGAGCGTCGTGCGCGCCGCCGCGGTGCGCGATGCGGGCGGGAGCGCCGTGGGGCCGCAGGACGCGCCGCGCGCTGTGCGGCGAGGCGGGCTCCAGGCTGAAGACGTGCAGCAGCAGGAAGGGGCCCGCGGTCAGCAGGGCCGCCAGCGCCGGGCTGCGGCTCAGCGCCAGCAGGGCGCCCAGCAGCGCCGTCAGAGCGCCCAGCAGCGCGTCCCCGCCGCACAACATGGCGGCGCCGCCACGGCCGCGCCGGGCCCGCGGGCGCTCTCCTCGGAGCGAGGGCGCCGGCGGCGGCGCCGGCCCACGAGCGCTCGGCGGCCAATCGCGGCCCGCCGCTCGCCCGCCTTCGGCCAACCGGCGCGCGGCGGCCGTCACGCCGACCAATCGCCGCACGGCGCCGGACCGCGAGGGGGCGACCCCGACCGGGGGTCCCGCGAGGAGCGGCGGCGGCTGAGGGAAACGCGGTGGGATGGCGGCACGGAGGTCGGGGACGGGCAGAGCCCACGGCTTTAGGACGGAAGGGGCGCGGGAGCTGCGCGTGGCGCGAGGGCAGCTCTGACCCGGCCGCTCGTCGCCTCAGTCCCTCACGCACTCGGGCGCAGCCGCGAGCGCTTCCCGCCTCAAGCGCGAGGTAACGCGCCTGCAGCCGGCGTCGGGTCGGCGTCCGGCAGCGCCGCGCCGCCCCAGCGCCGCCGAGCTGCCGTATGTCTGTCCGCCACGGCGGCTGTGTGACAGCCCGCAGGCAGGCAGTGCGGGCACGGCGAGACGCGCCTCCGCCGCTCCGAACGCCCCGCGCCGCCCCGCGCCCCTCCGCGCACGGCGCAGCCGCGTCCCTCAGCCGCTCCGCCCGCCGCGGTGCACGCCGGGGGCCGTAGTCGTTCCGTAGTGCCGTGGTTCCGGGGCTGGGCGGTTGCCGGGCTGCGCGCCCCACGCCGGTACCGGGCGCTGCTCCCCAGCTGGGGCCGGGCGCGGGGCGGCACGAGCCGGGCTGCGGGGAGCGGGGCCGGGCCTGCGGGCTGCCCGGCTCGGGGCCGTTCCGTCCCTTGGGGCCGTTCCGTCCCTCGGGCTCCTAGCGACGCCGAGCCGCGGTCTGTTGGTTTGTTCTGCCGGTGGCGGGTTGGCCTGTGTTCCTACGCGGGTGCGGGGAGGCGGGATCGCGGGGACGAGGCGCAGAGCGCTGCAGCCCTGCCGGCGCTGAGGCGGCTCTCGGTTCGCCCAGCGCTCCGCCGTGCTGACGGCGTGTCTGTGGCCGAGGCTTTGTGCTCTCGGTCTGTGCGGAATTCGTGAGAAAGCTGGCTTTGCGCTGTTGCTGATGGTAGGAAAGAGGCTCGATTAATTGGGCTGTCTGATGTGGGATTTGTTTCCCGTATAACAGCGATTCAGAACTGAAGGTGGCACTGGTTGTGGTGTTCTTCTTTCGTTGTCTCGGAAGTACAGTAGGATTTGTTTATTATCCGTGCTGTTTAGCTGCATGAAAATGGAGGACTACGAAACGTTCTGTAAGAAGCATCTGTCCAGAATCCAAGAGGCAACAAAAGGAGAAAACTCACCCACTGTGTTGCACAGAAATGTCTCCCTCATTCAATTCCATGGAGTTCCTGTGCTCTCCCCTCTGGTAAGGCGTTTTTTTCTTCCCTGCCGTGTTAACTGTGCTGTTGTTGGTTTGATATCTGTGTGCACTGACTGTCCTGAAGGTACAGCTCCATTTGAGCTGTATTCTTGCTTACTGCATTCTGAGCATCCCTAGCTTTAATTTTACAAGCTTAAGGAGTAAATTTTTATTTTTTCTTTTTTTCTTGCAATGCCTCTTTGCTTTCCTTTCTTGATGTTTACTGTCTTTATAAGGAAAGTGAAAATACTTGCAGTGTTAAATTGGTGGATGTTACTGCTGTGCTTGGCTTTGTGTAATACCACATAGACACCCAAGCATTGAATAATATGTGAGATTGTCTAAAAGTGAATAATATGATAGTGGGAATAGGAAACACTGAGGTTGTTAAAAGACTTTTAATTAAAACTTTTTTTGCATGCAATTGCAATTTCTAGAACTATGTTTCACAAGCTCATCAGTTATATTAAGTTGTTCCGTGCTTAATCCGAATAGAACCAAGCAGAAAGCTGTGGCTAGTTTGTATCATAATGCAGCTGACTTCCTTGCTTCGGTGATGGGAAGTATGAGTGGAGAGTTGGACAGCAGTCTCCAATGTGAGGATGTACGTTGGAGGCTGAACGCTGGATTGTAATATTTTTCATCTACAAGTGCGTGGATCTTTTCAGGTTTTGTAGAAGAAATGTCTGATCTGAGTGGAAGCTACTTGACTTTGGAGAACCATTTTTTGTAGATGAAGTTTTGTAGATTTAGTTTTGAATTTTATCCGAACTGCATATTCTCAGATTGCAATTTGGAAGATTTTCTGATTCAGATTTTAACAGGCTTCTTTTACAAGGCAAGTGCAACCTTCATAGACCTTATCAGGCTGCGTGCAAGTGGGAAGATTGGTCACAGTGCTCTGCAGGATGCCACATCCTCACATCTCAAAGAGGGCTGGGAAAGGCCTGTTCTGCAGTCCTGTATCATTTGAATGTGGAATGTACATTGTGGAATGTAATGTTTGTACAAACTTTTATAAACAATCATTTGAATTAATAATTGTTAGCATATGTACCAGAAAAGCATTTTGTGCATCTTTAGTTTAAAAAAAAAAAAAAGTATTTGGTTAGAAAGAATCTATCGATTAAAGTGTGCCCAAGTTTCAACATAGGTGGGTACATAGATATATATATTGAAAATTGGCATTTAGTGGTATAAACTTTGTCTGTTACACTCTGTTCTGCAGCTGAGCTTTGAAAAGAGAAAGGAAATACAGCAGTATCGACAGAAAGCGCTGGATCTGCAGACTTGGAGACAGAACTCCCACAAAAGAGCCTTACTGAATCGTGTGCAGGAGATTCTAGAAAACATTCAGGTAGGATTTGGACTAACTTCATAGCTTTAAAGGAAACGTCTCCTTGTGTGTGTTTTAAGAAAGGGCTGGGGTTTAGGTATTCACTAATATAAACCTGAAATTAATAGCAGTTAACTTTCAAGAACTAGCATTCAGTTAAGGTTAAGGTAGCATTCTTTTAAGTACAGGTAAGACTTGCAGTAATCTGGAAATCAGAGATTTCATCCAAACTGTGTGATATTTTTCAATTTTTACTTGCAGAACAGGAAAGTATCTGGTATGAGTGATGTGAACACGTGGGATGCTGAGAATACCTGCCCCAGTTCAGACTCCAAAGTTTTAACTGATCTCGCACCTCTGTCAGATGCCAACTTGCCATGTTCTCCTGAAAGGCATCGTCCTGTGCAGCTCGAAAAAAGCCAAGAGCTTTTGCCATCAGACTCTATGCAGCAAGTGACGTCAAATGCAACAGAAGTAGGTAAACCAGCAGAAGAAAATGTTCCTTCAAAGGGAAGTGAGAATCACTTCTCAAGAGATGTACCCTGTCCAAGGGCTGCGTCTCCTGACAGTGTGCAGAGTAAACTTGTGTCCCCTGCTTTACAAAAGCAAGAGGGACAAGGAGTGCCATCGTCTGACAAGGAGGTCCAAGATCCATATGCAGTGAGTCTTCAGAACCTGATGAAAAAGTCTAGGGAGTACATAGAGAAAGAGCAAAGCAGGCGTAGCTCAAAAAGCAGTTCAAAGAAGAGTATGAACGAAAGCCATTCAGATAAAGAAAATGATGCAGTTAAAACATCGGATTCTGTGAAAGAGAGAGCAAAGCCTACAGGCAGAAGTTCCACTGCTCTGCCACTTGATAAACCCTGTCTTAATAAATCAAATACTCACATTCAAGGTGCCTCTACTCATACAAGTACATCAACTTTATCCAGTTTTTCTAAAGTGGATATACCTATGAGAGTTGGAACACCCCCATTGGTGGATTCAGATTCAGATGAAGAATTTAAGAATACTTCAGCCATTGACCGTGACAGTAGCATTGTCAGGAGCCTCACAGGGTCGTATAGCAAACTGCCGAGCCCAGAGCCAAGCATGAGTCCAAAAATGCACCGAAGGCGCCCAAGGCCTCTGTCAATGGGACACATAGTTATAAACAACCCCGTGAATGCTTACGAATTAAGTCCCAAAGGCAAGGGTAGAGCAATGGATTTAATTATGCAAGATATTGCTGATAAAAATAATGTGTCTGAGTCAGTGCCAAAGTTCATGATGGACTTTAGTATGCTTTGCCCTAGCAGAGTTCCTGGTGTCATCAGGAGTTCTTCAGGTCCTTCTGATGGGTTGCTGGTTGGCAAACCAAACAGACATTCCTTTGGGCACTCAGAAGGCAAAGGGACGTTGTCTGCTGCAGGGGAGGGACAGGTAGTGATGGACAACAGAGGACTATATAAAGTAGAGACTGGTACTGTAGGTCCAAAGCTGAATGAGCCGTTTTCCATCAATCAGTCCACAGTAACACAGAAACTCCTAGCTGTGAAAGAAACCAAAGCGTCCAGTTTGCAAGAAAATACCAAATCTCCAGTAGAACTCAATAAATCTTACGATGTAGAAAGCCCATCCCCGCTACTAATGCAGAGCAAGAGTGTGCGCCAGCAGATGGACACTCCAAGTGTTCCCCCAGCAAATGAACAGTTTCTAGAAAACAGTTATGAAAAGGTAAAACGTAGACTTGATTTGGACACTGACAACTGCCAGAAAGATAACAACCCCTGTGCTGTAACAGTTGGGATGGAGGAAGAAGAGAAACAATGGTTGCAAGAGCAGAAATATCCTGTGACATCGGTTTACGTTGCCAAGAATGCAGCCCCTGATTCAAGTATGGCAAAAGGTAAAAGATTTCCTGTGTTTATTTTTTTTTAGCTTTTCAGTTTAGATTAATTTCTTAATATTGTATTATAATCAAGTCTATTATTATTAGTGCTATACTGTTAATATTATAATTAATTGTAAAATTATAACTAAAATATTATAATCATTGGTGATTCTAAGTGTGTATATATCAAAAGTGTTATTTTGTCAATTATCTTTCTTTTTTCAGTAATCTCATTGTTTCTCTAATTTTTAATTAATGACCAGCTCTGAATTCCAGCCTGCTACCTGAGCTGTGTTACGGCTGCAGAACAGACTAATTGCTCGTTTAGAATTCACTGATGGAGAGAAGTCTTACAGCTCTCTGTAACAAATACTTCATTAAATAGTTTATGAAGAAGCATCAGATGAGAAGTTTCTCAGAATTTTGTGGATTCTGTATTTATTCTCAGGGATATAATTTTAGGCAAAAAACCCATGTTCTCATTTGAATGTAGAAGTTTGAACTTAGTTTTTCTAAGAATATAATTTCTTATTCTATTAGATTTAGGTAAGACTACTAAAATGAAAGATGCTTTGTGTAAATTAAAAGAAAATACCTTTTAACAGCAAGGTTGCAAATCATTATGTAGGTGTTTTCTTTCAGTTCAAGACTGAGCTGTACATTTGTATGTGTCTATCAAGTCAAGCCAAAGCGGCACAAATAATTTTATTTTCCTCAACAAGTGCAGGTATTCTGTTCCCAGATCCAGATGTTTCACATCCTTATTTTAATACAGGCTCTGTTGGCGTTACTGCTGTGCCATCCACATGCTTGTCCCACAAAGAGCAACGTGCAAATATTCTGAAGGACTGTTGTAACTGATAAGCTTCTTTGCAATGCACAATGGCAACTCAATATAAAAAATGTCCTTTTTATTGAAGATGGAAATTACTCTTTTGAAGTGTGTATATCTGTGACAAAAGATCACATATAAAATATTTAATGGTTGATTCTTTGTAATGCATGTTTCTTCTCAGAAGAGATTTTAAAGACTAAAATGCTGGCCTTTGAAGAAATGAGGAAGAGACTCGAAGAACAGCATGCACAACAACTGTCAATTCTGATAGCAGAACAAGAGCGAGAGCAGGAGAAATTGCAGAAGGTAAAGCAGACAGAGGAAAAAGTCTGAGCTGAAGTCCCGTGTGTTGAAGTTTGTCAGGACCCAGCTGGTTTTGAAATGCACATTTTGTTGCTTAGAAAACAAGTTTTACAATTGATCTTTTCTTTCGTAGGAACTGGAGGAACAGGAGAGAAAAGGAAAGAAAATCGCTACAACAGAAATAGAAATTTCCAAAGTGAATATTAACAGTAGGATGGAGTTGGAGTGGAGAAAAAGTGAAAGTGGCTTAGTGGAAAGTGTGCAGTCTCAGCTGGAGACGATCCATAACGCAAACTCTACAAGCATTGGTAAAAACTGACTGCTAAAACTAAACTAAGGGTAGAAAACAGATCGAATGTTGTGGTATATTTTGCTCTGCAGTATCGACTGTACCAGCTGCCCTGCTGTTCTGATAAAGGCAGTGCTGCTGTGCTAGGCCACCTCTCGCATGTTCCATAAAATTATGAAAGTGTGTCTTGTTTCTTTTTCTCCCATTGGCTTAGCTAATTTTGCTTCGAAATGAATTAAATATTGAGATTGCTTCTTTCCTGTAATTGACTTCATACAAACAACATTGCTCCCTCTGAGCGGAGTTCTCCCTTGCTTGTTTTAACCTCTGTTTCTCATCAAACACAAATGGAAAATTGGTATTTAGCAGGTGAAGAGCAGAGGAACTTTGAGAGTAAATGTGCTAAACATGATTTTGATTATTTATGATTCATCTTTAGGATCTGTGTTAGCAGCATTAAACACTTCAAAACCACTTTCATTGAGATACTTTATGGATGAGATTTTCTATACAACTTTAATATTAAATAAGTGATTTTTTCATGCTGTAGGTGGATTTTTTTTTTCTTCCAATATATAAATAGTATCGTATAAAATGTGAGTAAAAACTGGAAATCTCTACATTTCTGATTGTCAAGATGACTTCCTGACTGCAGCTTAAGTTAATGTTTATATATGTGCTTGATACTTTATTTCTTATTTTTGGCTTTTGTTATTTTTACTATTTTTTATTTTTGTTCTTAAACAAGCATAACGATTGTGTATGTACTTGCACACATAGCTATTACCTTGTGGAGAAAAGTCTGTATGTTAAACTGTGCATTGTGCTGTGTGTGCAGGTTTTGCTCATGCTTCATCACCTAACACCTTTACTTCAACAAGTGAAACTTCGTTCTTTCTCTGGGGACCATCAGGCAGTGGAGTTATAAAAACCTCAGTATCTAGGCCAAGTAACAGGATCAAAACCAGGTGGGCCCAGGTAAGGAAAAATAAGATACTGCTTAAAAGGACCTTCAGTTTTTGTAAGATTCTGGTAATTTCCTAGTAGCTGTGCAGTAGGAAATGTCACAGACAAGTTCCATGTCCCTTCCTGTATCAACTTAGATTACGTGGCAGAACTGTATGGTGTATTTTTCTTGTGTAAAATGCAAAATACGTTTTACCTTTTATCAACAGTTGTTTCTTACTTCAAAACTTGAATCATATGATTTAAGAAATATCAGAAATTTAATTAAAGATATTTAAGAAAAAAATTATTCTGCTTTGTTTATTTAGTGTTTAGAAAATGCTTATTTTCTTTTAAGATTTTCACTCCAGAGATACAAATGAAGTTTGATAAGATAACTGCTGTGGCAAAGGGGTTTCTTACACGTCGGCTCCTACAGACAGAGAAACTGAAACATCTCAAGCAGACTGTAAAAGTAAGATCAGCATTTTTACATTATGCACCTTCTACTCCTGTTTTGGTTTTTCTTTTTTCTTAATTTTTTTCTCTCCTATCATGAAATCATGTATTTTCTGCATTCAGAAGAATTTAGGCATGTCTGTCCCATGAACACGTTTGAGTGGTGCATTGCTTACTGTTATAAGGTTTAAGTCAAACAAAGGTGAGCAGCCCTATCCATACAGTTTATGATGATTCTTTGGTTGAAAAGGTTCACGCTTGGTGCTTCATCTTATTTCTCCCTCATCCCCAGGATACTATGGAGTTCATAAGAAATTTTCAATCTGAAGCCCCATTAAAAAGAGGAAGTGTTTCAGCACAAGATGCATCCCTTCATGAAAGAGTAATGGCTCAGGTGAAACAACTTAAACTTTTTTTTTTTTTTTTTGCTTTCCTAAGTATTCTGCCTTTGTAAAAAGAAGTTACTTGTTTGTGTGTACTAACATAAATTGATAAAACGTGCATGGGGGCTCTGTTTAAAGAAACAAATTGGAACTACATCTGTGATGAAAATATTCCATTTTTCTGCTGACATGTTAAGAGAGATTTCGAACCTATTTTATTCAGTGTTTAACTATTCCTTCCAGCTTCGAGCTGCTCTGTATGATATCCATGACATATTTTTCACAATGGAGGCATCAGAAAGAATGAACATTCTGCGTCACGATCGTGAAGTTCGTAAAGAGAAGATGCTCAGGCAAATGGTGGGTTATAGGCACGAGAGTGTAAACTGTTCTAAGATTTCAAGGAAGAAGAAGATCTTAACTTCAGCCTGAATATGATCTTTTTTAGGATAAAGTGAAGAGTCCAAGAGAGAGAGCAACACTTTCAACAGCTACGCAGAAATCTCTGGATAGGAAAAAGTACATGAAGTATGTGCAGATCTCCTTTTGTGGTGAGGGGAGGGGGCCATAGGGTGATGAGGAAGAGTAGGAGATACTGAAAATAAGTTTTTGTGGAAACAGCTTCTTTGCAAAATAATATATCTTTTAGGAAGTATTAATGAAAAAACCTTCTCAGGTGTGTGGTATGTTAGCACTTGTGGTAGTTCAGTTTAACTTCTGAGAGACTTCTTGTCTCTCTGAGCAAAATGTTTGGTTTGGGTTGTGTTTATGGTGTGCAGGATTTCAGTGTTGATCAAAACAGTCCCTGTGCACTCAGCTTATGGTAGATTTTTGTAGGTTATGTTAATGATCTTTTCAAAGTGCTTAGCAAGAGATGTAATTGGTAGAGTTCCTTGAGGGTGCTTTTGGGATGGTGGCAGGCATTATCTGTCTCCTGCAACACAGTTGAGTAAAAAGCAGTAATCTGTAGAACAGTTATGGCAGTATAACATGCAAATGCAGATTTTGTTGCTGTTTTTCTCGTACTGTTTCCATGTAAGACCTACTGATGATTTTGTAATTTAATTATATTTCAATACTGTTGTTTCTCTAGGGCTTCAGAAATGGGAATGCCAAGTAAGAAAATAGTCATAAAACAAAGAAGTCCTGAGAGCCGGTGAGTGAAGGTTACTTAATACATTATGATTCTTCTAAAGAATTGTCTTAGAATGTTAGATCCTTTGATCTGTGTTACTGGCTTGCTAAATTTATAACAGGAATGAAATCAGACTTGGTAAGGGCTGGGGATAAAGCTAGAAAAAAGTTATTTCTTTCAATGTCAGTTCAAAAATAATTTCTTTATGGCTTTAACTCTATGTTCAGGTTCCAGGTTTCTCTCAGATACACTATTACTATCTTTTAAGTTTCATTTTGATACTAGCACTTTTCTTAATAGATTCTTTATAATGTAAATATATATATTATGATTCTTTATAATGTAAAATGTTCACTTTAGAAAGCTGTCAGAAAATAAGTGTCTGTCTCTTGGAAAAATGTTATTGCTTCTAGTTTGTGCAGCTGTTAACTTAGATCACAGAAATGACAGTACACAGTACTTGCTGTGAAGAGAGGGGCTGCTGCCTTACTGCTGAGTCCTTTTCCTGCTATCTGTACAAGTCAGATACCTGGCATCTCTTAAAAACATTTCTTATTCCATGATTACCTAATAGTTCTGAAGATGTGCCATCTAATTATACAGTTTAGTCTTCAATGACTTGTAAAAATGCTTCAACGCTTTTTTTTCCTGTATGTCTTTATCAATGACTATGAACCCAGGCCAATTTTGAGGGGAGCTTTTTATGGGTGCTTTTTTTTTTTGTTTCTTTGCTTTAAAGAACAAGTGAAAATAGTAATTTTATTCAGGAATTTTAATGCCTGGCATTTTTGTATACGTCATCTGTGTTATGTAGCCTTTTAGCCATTCTGAAAGCTGCTATTTGAAAGATGATGCATAATTTAGTATTCTTTCAAAGTTTTTTGTTTTTTTTTTTTTAAGGAGGGAAAAAGTACTAACAGAAGTTGTGTTTTGACAGAGTACTTCAACCAAACCAAGGACAGAATGCCCCGGTTCATAGATTACTTTGCAGACAAGGGTAAGGACACAGCATGTTCCTAGCCTAAGGTTAAAAGTAAATGCAAAATGCAAGAACACATTAACACAATACTTACATTTAATGGTACAATGTTGTTCAAAGACAAAATGATTCTTACAGTATTTTGAGAGAGTGGTAAAGATTTATTGTACCTTATATTGCAAGAAAATTATTTAGTGTTACCATCTCCTTGTGTATTGTCTCCATTTACACTGTTTTGACATTTGTATTTGTAACGCTCATTCCATGAAGCTTTGCTTCTCCTTAATGAAACATTTGTATTTTCAAGTACAGGCTGTAATGCCACAGTGTTGGAAATGAATCCATCTCCTGAGCAGAAATTTTAAAATATGTACATGGGGAAATATTCTATTTACTGTATCTTCTTAAGTATTAATTTCAGGAGGAATTGTACACATACTTAGGAGGATACTATATAGGACAGTGTGAAAGTGATTTTATGCCTAACAGTTTGTTAGTATCTTTGTATTGTTGGATACAATCTTTCAGTTTTGATGCAAGTGACTTATTAACTCTTTTATATTTAATTAGAACCCCTAAGACCTCAATGAAGGGGGTTGAGCAAAATAGAAAGAAGGCCTCAGAGAGCAGAGTGTCTAACAAGGCGGTTTCAGGTGTGTAGAAAATTGGTGCTTGGATCGTATAGTAAATAAGTTGCCAGTGTCAAGAAAAACTAAGTGGGAGATTTCTTGTTTTCTTTTTCTTCTGCACCTGCTTTGCTGTGTCTTAAGTCTAACCTGTCTCTTTGGACATGTGCTGGTAACTTCACCATCCACTCTAAGATTTTATAAACATAGTGTATAGAATGTACTTTATAACTCACTTGCTTTCACTCACCAGATGCCCAACCATTAAAAAGTTTTGCCAGAAATACTCAGTGTAACTGTTTGGGAAACTAATAGTAGTCAAACTAGTGGGTTGGAATCATGTTGTCATCGTATTTCTGTACGTGTATAATTTCTCCTTTCAGTAGGCTTTGTTTTGAAGATAGGATAGTTTGAGAAGACTTACCAGTGGGCATTCCATAGCCATAGTCTTAAACTGACATTTATTCTGTAGCATCTTACAGAATGCGTGAGCCTTAATGAGACAAATTCAGAAATGGAATATTCCTCAGCTTGTATACAGAGATTACTGATAGGTTACTCTTTTTAATAAGTAAGTTTGGTAGTAGTGCCAAACCTCTATGTTTTAAACCTGCACATGAAGAGAATAAAACACAATGAAACAAGCAGTTATTCAGTTGCACTAAGTGACATTACTGAAAAATTAATGAAGATGGGAAATAATCTCTCCTGAAATATAAGTAAGAATTTTATGTAAGTAATATATGTGTAGCAAACAGAATTAACTGTAAGGCAGCTGTTATCTATAAGTTTGACAAAAACGATCAACTCTTCCAGTTGGAGTATTAAAGAAGTTGTAGGAGAGTAGTAGTGAGAGGATGGTGTCAGTGTCAAGTTTAGAGTTAATTTTTGGAAAAGGCATACAGATCTCATCTAATTGATGCTGAATCTATAATGATATATGGTGTTTTTTACGTTTCAATCTGACATCAGACATCCAGTTAAAACATTCTCTATCACTCTTTTGTGTTGGCCATATATATGTGTTGCTTGGCTAAGTCTCTGAGTTTCCCTTAGCTGTAATTATCCAAGTCACGAGAGTTGATAGCAGGTAATGGGAGGAATCTTTTGGAACACATCTCTAAATTTCTCATTACCTTTCTTATTTTGTTTGTTGGATAACTGGAAAGTTACTTAATGCCTTCTTTAGTGATCATCTTGGAACTTAAAATAGATCAATAATATGCTGTCTAGCTATGACTGTACAGCATAACCTCAGTTAGTGTTTGGACATCACATGTGTACTGTGTTATAATACTAGTACTTCCATGTGCTCTTTTATAAATAGATTAGACTGCTGTGTTAAGTGAGTAGGAATGCATTCTGAAATTACTAGACAGGGAATTGGCTTGGTGTGAAAGAAATCTGCATAACTTCGCATAATGAAAATACCTTCAGTTAAATACATCTATATGGAATGTGATTTTCCTTATTTATGAATAAAATTTGAATAGTGAAAGGCTTTGCAATATGTTGAATAGCTGTTTGTTTTTAAAACCTTTTGTAAGCAACTTTAAAAACCTGGTCTTAGTCAAGAAATCTTTTCTAGAGAGGTTCTTGAAAGTCATCTGTAGTGAGGCAGCAATTTCTGTCTGAAACTATAGACACAGAAACTATAATTTTAAGTCAATCTATAAATAAAATGGAATGCTAAATAAATGTGTATTCTTCTCTCATTTTAGGAGAACTTGCACAAATCAGAAAATGTAGACTCACAGTGGTGGTTTGGCAATACAGAATCATAGAGCCATAGAATGGCTTGGGTTGGAAGGGACCTAAAAGATCATCTAGTTCCAGCTCACCTACAGGGACTTCTGTGCGTAACTATCCCAGTTTGCAATATTCCTAACCCATAGTATTTCTGTTTCATTTCTTGTCCTTACTTGTCCCTGACTCCCAGTTAAATTGTGCTTGTTAGAGAGGTAAGGGAACTGTGAGATCACAACTTGAACTGTGATTGAGCACCTGGGGAAGGGCTGTGGCTGCCCAGGGAGCACAGGGGATTGTTTGCATCTGTGCTCCCCAGGTGATCTGAAAGGGTGAAGCCCCCCTCCTCCTGAGATGCCCAGCTCAGATAAGGGCTGGGCACTGGAAGGAGAGCTTCTCTTGGACTTGGGCTGCTTTCTGAGGAGCGCTTCTTGTCCAGAAATCCCCTTCACCAGCTGAGTGAGTTCAGATCTTCTTTTTGTATGTGGCTATTGGCCTACCCATGCATACTTTGCCTGGTATTGCCAAGAACGTGCCAGAAGCAGTTTCATGCCTTTGTGAGCAGAATAGAGGGGCAAGAAGGAAGAAGAAGGATTAGTAGTATACAGCTATTAGGGATGTCATGTATTCAAACTAGACATGAGACATGCCCTCAGAAGGTATCCAGCTGCATTTGACTGCTGGTTTGATTTCTGTTGACAAAGGGCTTTGTAGTTCTGATGATACTCTCATTGGTTACTGTTTTCTGGCAGGAAGGCTTTTATCTTAGGTACTGCAGTTGATTATTGAATTTATTTTTTGTGTTTTGTATTCCTTCAACCAGGTTCAGTTCTAAAGGAGAAACTTAATAAAACTGTAGTGTCATCTTTGTTGTTTGTTTTAACAGGACAAAGCAGCTCTGTCAGTAGCCTGTAAGTCGTGCTAAGCAGGGCATTTAAAGATGATTGAGATCAGCCTGCTGCTGCCACTGTGCTTCCCCACCTCGTTTGTTTCTGCCCAGTCTGAGTAAGTGTTCAGTAATAGTGGGGCATTAGGCACAGACTATTTGGGCAGTAGCAGTACTGAGCCAAGTGTGATCTTTCCTGTGTGCTTGTCCAGCCTGAGCAGAGAGCAGACAGCCTGTGTGAGAAATGTGTGCTGCCAGGTGTGTTGGTGTTTCACACAGTGCTTTTGAGGGCATCAAGTTTATGGTGTGTGAGTAGCAGGGAGATTACATGACTGAGAAGAGAGGTTGTTCGCCCTGGCACAGTAAAATTGTGGGTGATAATTGTGTCCAGAAAGACTGTAACTCTTCTCAGTAAAGCTGATTTCTTTTTCCTAGTCTAGATCCCCTATGTTGTCTGTTTTTCTCTGTATTTAAATAGATTAATTCTATGTACAGTAGTTTAATAAGTATGTACATTTTTCAGTAGTTAAATGAAGCTTATCTTAGAGCAGGATAAATTGATGTAAAATTAAACTCATGTGTAACTGTTATAGATAAAAAACAAACAAACAAAAAAAAAACCAACTTAATTCCTATAAGATTTAGGTATCTGGTGGGTGGAGGGAGGAAACTGACTTGAAATATACCTATTTATTTCCTAATAGTAAAAATTGTACCCTTATTTTCTGTATGTGACATTTCTATATGACTTGGAGTGCACACAAGGAAAATTAAGGGTAGTGTTAAATCACTAATAAACCATCATACCTGTCATCCTGGTTCATTGTATGGGATCACAGGTGAGCTGAAGAATACAACACTGAAGAGTGTTGGACCACTGAGAATTCCTTTTTGTATAGTAGGAAGCAGTGTTCAGGTGTGAAGGGTTCCTGTGATGGTAAGGTCTCTTGGGCATTTCCAAAGTTGCTTTGCACTGTGCTGAACACAGCTCTTGGGCACCTGTAAGTGACCACTGCAAGTCTGGCAAAAAGGAACTGGAAATTCTAAAAAGCACCAGCACCTACTTTGTTATGTTCACTTAATTGCCTGAAAACTTTCTTTTCCATGGCTGTCTTTCATTTCCACTGCTCTGCACCATGTGATGTGATGTTCACTGCTTTGTATAAATGTTTGCTCTCATTGCTAGACACTCAGTAACTGCTTGAACCTAAGGAATGCTGAATTGTGTGACTTCTTAGCAGCCTGCAGTGCTAAGCCCTTATTACTGGAAGAAACTTATGCTATGCATAGTGTAATATGCCTTTCTAAAGATGTATGTTTGTTACATGTGGAGAGATTTTTATTTTATTTTCTCAAGTAGTTTTCTTTTCGTGTAGCCTTTGCCTGATGATGTTATTTGTACTGCACTTCAAACTCTGGTTGTGTTTCTTAACATATGGAAACCTAGAGCTGTTCCTTTGAAAAGACAGTTCAGTTTTATTAAGATTTGAATATTCTCTGGCATATATTTCTAACTCTTTTTTCGTAGGTTGTTAAGGTCTTTTTAGGCTTAACTGTTAAGTTACTATGAAGTTGTTATCTGGTAATGTTACTGATATCTATAGCTCTCAAAGGAGGATGCCTGATGCAATGTAATTTAAGGTGTGCAAAGTAATTTCGATCAACAATTCCTGTAATTTTCTACCAGAGAGGTTTTGGAAAGTGGAAACTATAAAGAAGGTGTGGTGAGTGCAAGATTTGATCCCTATCCTCTGTTTAAATCACGTAAGAGATCTGCAGGACGACAAGGCCACTGTTGTGGCAGCATATGTGCACCTTGGTTTGGCCACTCACTGTGTCCATTTCTCAGTTCTGGAGCCCTCTTTCTCAGTTTTAGCCAGGACTTCTTCCCATTTTTAGCTGCTTGTAGAAAGTTGAATCACATGATGGAGGAGGAAAGGAGTTATGTGTGAAGGGAAGGAACTTTGTATTTTGCCAATGCCTTACGCTTGCTTCCCTTTTACTTCTGTGCATTTTTATCCTGATGCTGAAGTTATTCAGACTGGCAGCTGCAATGCAGATGGAAGAACAGATGCAACAGAAGAGATCTGTGTGTGTGGATATCTGAGGAATAGAGTTTAGGCCAATGTCCCAAGAAATCAGAATGAAGATAATTAGAAATAACTGGAAGACAAACCTGTAATGCTAACTCCCTATGCTTTGCATTATTCTTGCTCTGTCTCAACTTCTCTTTGTTTATTCATAGGGGATGTGGAAAAGGAAAATTTGTCTTAAATGTTTGACTTTGTACTTTATTTTTAAATTGATATTTATATGTCATTTTTGGAATTACTTTAATCATATTGTCTTGGTAAAATTACAAACAGACTTATCTTAAACCTTCTGAATTACAGTTGTAGGTGTTTTAGAGTAGCAGAAAAACGACTGTTTTCTTCCTTGATAGGTTTTCTATAATATGTTGTTACTTGCAAGCTTGTAAGTAGTTTTAATAACCTGTTTTACTTAAGCATTTGTAAGGCATTTCAAATGTAACACAAGGAAAACTCCTTTTAAAAGCAGATACTAAATATATAATAATGCCTTAATGTTATATTATTAGCTGTTTCTGTTGGATAATCTTGTTGTTGCAAAAGTCAATATTATCAACTCTAAAAGGTACATTCTCCTTTTGTTTTCAGGAGCATATGCAGGAAGAACCCAAAGAAAGAAGCCAAATGTTGTGACAATTTAAGACGACAGCACTCACTAGGATGAACAGGCTGCCCTTTAACGATGGTATTCTCAGCACTCATCCATGTATTTCATCTCTTAAATGCGTAGTTATATTTTGAAATGATAAGCCTACTTTGTCTTTTCCAGATGATGACATTTTAATGCAATCATATTGAAGTAATAAAGAGCTGTTAAGCTCTAATCCAGTGTAAAAATTGCATGTTAAAAGTTGTGTATGCAGTAGTGTGCATATATAAGATTCATAATGTTATTCAAATAAGACCACAGAGCATCATTAAGTTAATTTGGGACATCATATGCTCTAACTTTGTATCTTCAACATGGTTTTTGTATTATTTAAGTTGGCAATTTCTCTGTATGGTTTTCCACCATAAGTCATGCACGTATAGTTTTAGTTTCTCACCATTATACTTAAAGCAGTTACATAAGAAAAAAAATCCCTTAAAACTGAACTCTTCAGTCTGAATTTGTCAGCAGCTGTTCTGAATGTATTTGTGTGAATGCTGTTACATCACTTCACATATTTATGGCCTAAATTGGTTGCAATTGTGCTGAGTTGGACAGACAAGGATCCAGACAGGTGTACTTCCATTCTCTATAGAAACTGCACATTTATACACGTGATAGATCAAACAACTGTGCTGGATGTCCTAGGATTTTTTTTTTCCTTGTTATCTGTGGAACACTGAAGGATGATGCACATATTTTGCCTTGATCATCATAGTGATGGGTGTTATGCTTCAGCCTGAGCAGAGCATAAGTCTGGAAGTTTATTTATGTCTCTAAGGATACAACTTTCAGACAGGATAGGTTGTTAACATTAGAAGTAAATAGAGAGAAGCTTGGCTATTGCAGTCTGTGCAGTACTGTTTTTTTGTTTTCTGTTAGAGTAGTACTAGAAAACTGATCACCTGAAAGTGAAGTTATTGTTTTCTTCCCAGTGTCAATACAGTGCAACACAGTGGGGCCTGTGTAACATTTTCTCACTGGTATGAGGGGGAAAAAGTGATCAATAACTTAATTTGCAACCGCTATAAAAAAAGAACATTAACAGTAGGATGAAGAGAATATCTTTAGGGACAGTGGTGAATTAGCTGGCTTGTGGCAGTAGTTGTGACTTGCATCAGTAAGTCTGTCTTCCACAGCTGGTGACGGTGTTAAATGCTTCCTAACAGGTGATACTAAATTGTGTAGTTAGAAATCTGAGGCAAAAGGCTGCTGAAAGGCTTTGGAGGTAGATGCTGCTTAGGCTCTGCTGTGGCTCTAAGGTGCATTCCCTGCTGGTATAAATGCAAAAGCTTACACCAGTAAAATACCTGCTGCCCTCATATCAATTCAGTGATTTTTTTATTTTAAGAAAAAAATTGCAATCCAAAAAATGCCTGATGTGTTTCCTGCTTATTCAGCAGTCATCCAATGTCTGCTTTGGCTCCCGCTTTCCTGTGTTTGGATAATCCCAGGATGGGAGTGGAAAACATCTGAGGGAAAAGAATGGAGTGTGACCTGTGTCAAGGGTGGCACAAAAGCCTGCTGTGGCTGTGTCAGTGCTAAGGGTTGGTGTATTTTAAGGGTGTTTTATATACTGTATGTATTATTAGAGTAGGCAGCGTGTTGATATAAAAGTAGTGTTAGTAAATGTGAGTGCTTACCTCCAGGTTTCACATCTGAACCTCTTTTACTTCCAGCATGTTTCTGGTCTGTGTAACAAGGTGTTGTACTGCAAGTTGTTTGTTTGAACTTTCATGAGGCCTTTCTCTTGACAAGTGCCAGAATTTGGTTTTGTACTTAGTATGTTAATTTATACATATTTAATTTTATCTGACTTTATTTTGTGTGTGGTTGTAATATCATCATAAAAGCGTATTTATTTTTGTACTTTCCGTTTTCACCAGGCTTGCTTTTTACTACATACTACACAATAAACTTGCAATCTTTAAAAAGACCTCCGTTTTTCTAAATTGCTTCTCTGGGTTGAAAAATTCTGCCATTAAAATGAGGCTGTTCTTTGCAGCTCTGTATTTTTTTTTTTTTTCCCTTGGTAAGCAAGAAAGTTGGTTTAGGACAGTTTGCTCCTGGCTTGATAGGCATCAAAATACCCAACATGATCTTATTCAGAGGAAGGAGTGGGTAAGGAGAAGCAGTGCCCAGGGGGTGGCACTGTTGGTTTGCAGCACGGCAGCTGTTGGGGCCGGGCTGGGGGTGCTGCACCGTTTCACAAAGATTTCTGTGGAGTGAATTCAAATTTTCTGCCAACGATGGAACTTCCATTTGGTGTCTGTCAGAGTTGCCAGTGGTAACTGTGTTGTTTTGGGAAGCAGCTGTCCTGTGTATTTGTGTGGATTTGTCAGTTCCCTGTTTTCTAGCACTACTATCCCATGTCATTAGAGGAATTCATTTTGTATATTGATGTGTTGTGAGAGATATGGGAATGTATGAGTCACTTGCTTGTAAAACTGTTAGCAGTGCTATCCAGGGCAGTTGTATATACTATATATTTACTGATTTACATAAAACTAGTCAAACTACCAAATAGTAGTAAGGAAAACTTGGTACTAGTGTCAGAATGGGCACTTCTGTGTTCAGGCTGGTAGCATTCCCAAGTCTTGAATACTTGGGGTGCTTGCCAAAACAATTTAGCTTTTAATGATAGCCTGACATAATTGCAGTTCTAAATTACCTTGTTGCTTATATTTAAAGGAGACTCCATTCAAAAATCCATCAGAGAGAAGTTCTGAGATAGTAAACCTGTTTTTCCAGGTATCGCCTGCAGTGCGTGTGGTAGCTTTAGTAGTAGGGGTAGATCCACTGTATCTTTTGGTGGTGTAATGAGAATTCCAGGAATAACCACTTCCAAAGAATTTATCCCTTCATATGCAACTGTCATTCTGCCACTTCTTTTTAAAATAATGAGTTGGACTAGGAGCAGGGAAGTTGAGGCAGCCCGAGGAAACTTACTGACTTGCTGACCTATCTGGTGGGCGGAGGAAAAAAATCCCAAACCACAATCATAGATATGCTTCATATTCTAAGGGCTTTTTTAGGGAATAGCCGAAAGCTATGAGCTCCTAAGTTAATAATAAAAAAGTACTTGGCTCAAATGCAAATCCATTTCTTATTTATGCTCAGGACTTCTCTGGTTTTTACATTTGCACCAAAAGTGAAAAGTTTCCTCTAGAAATAAGTAAAGAACTCCGCTTGATGGCTTTCACCTCATCGTACAAGTAGGTCTTCCTTCCTAGTGCTTGACATTCCCATTCTCTCTGAAACATGTGAGAAGGAAACTGCTGGAACTATAAAGATGGTGCTGGGAAAATTGTGCTAATTTGAAGATAAGCATTTCCACTGGACAGCCAGGAAATTCTAAATTACTTCATTATCCTTTAGAATTTGTAGATGTCTACATTAGAGACAAATTAGTATTTGGTAATAACACAGCACACTATTGTCTCCAAACTGTAGTTCATGAGTTTAATGTAATTGGTCTAGGGACCCATATGAAACAGTCAGATTTACAGAACTTTCAATTACAAGCTTAATATCACAGAAGCACAGAATTGACATGGTTGGAAGGGACCTCAAGGATCATGAATCTCCAACCCCACCGCCACATGCAGGGCCACCAGCCTCCCCATTTAATGCTAGACCAGGCTGCCCAGGGCCCCATCCAATCTGGCCTTGAACACCTCCAGGGACGGGGCATCCACAACCTCTCTGGGCAGCCAGTTCCAGCACCTCACCACTCTCTCTGTAAAGAACTTCCCCTGACATCCAACCTAAATCTCCCTTCCCTCAGCTTAAAACCATTTCCCCTTGTCCTGCTGTCACTCACCCTTTCAAAGAGTTGATTCCCCTCCTGTTTGTAGGCTCCCTTTAGATACTGGAAGGCCGCAATGAGGTCACCCCGCAGCCTTCTTTTCTCCAGGCTGAACAAGCCCAGCTCTTTCAGCCTGTCCTCATAGGGGAGGTGCTCCTGTCCCCTGATCATCTTTGTAAAGTGTCTGATAATAATAGAAGTGTCTGATGTTCAAGAAACCTTAATCATCAGCAGTAGTCTATTAATACTGATAAGGTGTGCTTCAGGTTTAAAGCATTTAGTGAAGGAACACCTGTGTGTGTCATCAGAACACAGATTGGTTTATTGCTGCTTTGTAACTATTCTGTGTAATGAAGAGAAGCAGAAAGCAAACAAAGGGAAATTAATTTCAAGCCATCGGGAAGTTTTGTGTTACTCACAGAGTGAAATGATTTGAACAAGAATGCACTGAACAAAGAATGAAATTGTTAAAGCTTTCTTGCTATTGGAAGGTAATAGTCCAACTGGTTTTTGAACAAGCCTGGTGATGAATAGGTTTTTTTTACCTGCAGAATTTACATATAGCCTTAAATCTTGATTGTGATGAAATGGTTGCCCATATCAGCTATTTTAAGATCAGAGGCATTTCATTACAGTGGAATTCTGGCACTCAGCTTTATGCAGTTTCTGCTTTCTTTGCTCTGTCATTTTAAATTGAATTTCTTTTGATCTGTGTAAATAAATCAGAGAGAGCCCCGAGGCACCAGCACAGAAAGGGAGTATTTCTTCTGCTGTTAAATTTGAACATCACTGCTGTTTCTTTGTGCTTTTAGCTTGCCACCGCTGGCTGCAGAGCTTTCCTCAGCAAGGTCTGTTTGGTTCAGACATGAGACCTAATCCTTGTTCCCCCATCCTCATGTTTGCCCTTAGTTCTGTAGCCTGTCTGTGTTAAGCGATGTTTTCCAGCACTGGCAGCTGCCCTGCGAGAAGTGAGGGGAAAACTTAAACGGTTTAAACTGTAATTCAATTGTATTCAATGTATTATTCAATAAGATGTTTAAGGAGACGTTTTCCAGGGGCTGTAGCTGTTCTCAGTTGTCTGAATGGCTCAGTGCCTCTCTGGCCGTGCATTGCCTGCTGAGCTGCTGCCGAAAAATCATAATAATGATACTGACAAGGAAGTATTACTCCATAAACTAGCTCTGGGCAAATAACGGGCCTGGAAGTAGTGGTTATTTAGAAACTGATTTCTTAGTCACACGTTTTTACCGAGAGAGGAAAAAAAAAAAAAAAAGCAATAGTGCTGTTACATAAACCCATCACTATTTGCAATGAATGTTTAAGGCAGGTAGAGAACAGGATACTGAACAACAGAAGGGGGTTTTTCACAGCAGTTCGTACAGCGTGGGTTAACTTCTTTAACTTCTCGTTCCCCGCAGCCTGGCTGGATCCCTGCTGCTCCTGCAGGGCAGGGGCTGCGCTCGCCGTGCTCAGAGCTTGCTGTGCCGCCGTGCAGGTGCTGCTATCCGCGCCTCCTCCGAGAGATGGGCGGGACGGGGGCACCGCATTCGATTCGAGTCGAGTATTCCACCTGCACGCCTTCGGCACGTTTCTCCGCAGCCGCGACTCCGGGCCGCCGCCCGCCCGTGCCGGAGCCGAGGTCCGGCAGCCGCAGTTCCCGCCCCCGGCTCCCGGCCCCGCCTCCCCCCGCCCAGGGCCGCCGCGGTTTCCCTTCCGGAGTCAGCGCCGCTCCCCCGCCCGCCGGGTTCGCTTCCGGCTCCGCGCGGGGCCGTTCCTGGCGCCGCCGCCGAGGGGAGCGCGGGGCCCATGGAGCCGCGGCTGTGAGGCGCCCCGGCCCGGGCCCGCCGCGGGAGCCGGGCGGCGGCCGGAGGAGATGGACAAACTGACCGTCATCTCAGGATGCCTCTTCCTGGCCGCGGACATCTTCGCCATCGCCAGCCTGGCCAACCCCGACTGGATCAACACCGGCGAGTCCGCGGGTGAGGCGGCGGGGCGGGGGCCGCGGGCGCCGCTGCGGCGGCGGGGCTGCGGGGCGGGGCGGCGGCGGCCCTGGGCTGGCGGCTCCGAGGGCTTCCAGCCCGGAACCCGGCTCTCCTTCTTTTAAAAAAGAACGGGGCGCTTTGCGTGCCGCGCTGACGCTGCCGGTAGGAGCGGCTGGTCGCCGCCTGTTGCCGAGGGCGGGAGGGGCGCGGGGCGGGCCGGTGCTGCGGGTCTCCCGAGCGGGGTGCGCTCCGAGCGTCCGCGGTACGGATGAGCGACGGGGCGCCGGGCTGCAGGCTGCTGTCCTGTGTGCCGGCAGGGTGTTCCGAAACTTCTGCTGCTGCCTTGCCTGGTGCTCGGCTTCGTAAGAGGACTGAGCTGTTCCAGGTGAAGTCGCTGCGTCCTTCGCTCTGGTGGAGCTTTGGAAGCCTCGGCAGACAGAGGCTGATGGCAGGGCGTTCCTCTGACCCGCTGTCTTTATCCATATGGTTTGGCCGCATTGGTTCTGTCAGTCCAGCCTGGAACCTGGCTGCTCGAGTCACTTCACTGAGCTCAGCTCTCAGCGCTGCCCTCAGGACGTCCCGTCATCCCTGTCTGTTGTGATCTTCCTGCCCGCGGCCCTGAGAGCAGTTGGTCCTCTCCTCTTACATCCCCCCAGCAGTGTGCTGCAGTAAGGAGCCCTTCTGTAGGCACTGGCAGTGACATAACAATCCTTGTGGTAAACGTGTAGATGTGTCTGTCCGAAGCCCTTCCCCATGTCTGTAGGTCCAACCCCGTGTGTCAGGTGTTGGCTTCTCTCTGCCTGTCCAGCAATGAGATAATAAAATCTATCTTGAAAAAGTTGCTCATGGGGAACTAAGTGCAGACCATTAATATCTGTTAAAGAAAAATGCTTAATGTCTATTTATAATACAAAAACAGCTCCTTGATGTAATGTGCCTAGAAATCATGGATTCTCAGTTACTTGATGGGTGATTGCTTGAGAATCACCTGCCGTCCCTATCTTTTAGAGTTTTTAGGATTGCAAACAGGTTTTACCTGCAATTAGGCTGGCAAACGTGAAATCTGTGTGGATTTTCTGCAGCACTTTTCAAATTGTGTTTTGACAGACCAGTGACTTATTTTATTGCCATCTTCTGAAGCCAAACAAGTTGTTGGCTTTTAGAAATCACAAAGGAGAGGTGGCTGTCATACCATGGCTCCCTTAATGGCTGTTTGGTAGATCTTTATCAATGTGGGATTTGAATTACTCTGTTCTAAGATTTCTGGCTAGAAGCAATGTAAATATGCATTTCCAGTGCTTAGAGCTGCTGAAAGAACCTTTTGCCCGAACTCAAAGGAAGTGCAAGGATGCCCATTCACTCAAGGACTTCCTGTAGTAAGCACTGTGGTACTGAATGATGAGGTGGCTGTTTCTGAGTGCCATTCAGTAGCCAGAGATGCTGTGGAGAAGTATAGCATAGGAGGACACTGCTGTGAGGATGCTGCCCTGACTGTGTCCCAGCCCCAGCTGCTAGTGAGATGCAGGAATCCCTCAGCACATGGACTCGAGCCCTCCCAGCTTGGGTGCTTGCAGCTACACAGTAGGTCTTCTAAAGTGTCTTGCTCTCAACTGGTGAAACAAACTGTTTATTTGCATAACCTCTTTGTCCTTTGGTTCATCTGCTGTGGGAGTAATTCTAGGTGCTGCTTTACAAGTCAGCCTGGTATCAAGGAGGAATGTGAAAGATCGTGTTTCCTTGCTTGGCTGCTGCCCTCAGTCCTGAAGGCGGCACAGAGCAGCCCAGCATCAGTGCTGCAGCTGCTTGGGGACTGCATAGAGCAGAGCTCTCAGCAGAGCTCTCAGCAGATGTGGGGACACAGCACTGCAGCAGCTCCATCACAATCCTCTGCAGCCATTGAGACTGGAAACCTGGGCTTGGGTTCCAGGAGAAAGATCCATTCTGGGGTAAATGCAAAGAAATACATACGTCATACTCCATTGGTGCTGGTGATTTTCTGCTAAATGGGATATCAAAGCAATTTGGATGCTTTAATGTTGTTGTTGTTGGTTGTTTTTTTTTTCCCCCTGAAAAATGTAGATTGCTTTAAATGTTTTATTTAAAGGAGCTTATATTCTCAGGAGAACAGTATGGGGGAAGGGCTGATGTGTCTCTCAAGTTCTACTCTTGCAGGCAGCTTTATAGTCAGTTGAAAACTGTTGGCTGTAAAAATTCCTCTCTAGCACTGTAATTATGAGGGAATGAGCACCACAGAGGGCACAGAAGGTTTCAGATTCAGGCCAGAGAGGAAATACACCTCCATGGAAGTGGATCCAAGTCTTTGTTTGGTGCTCTTCCTCTACGTATTTTTGCAAGAATCATTCCTTATTTTAGTTTCAGGTATTTTATACATCTTTGAGCTTATAAAGGAAACTTGAAAATTAAATAGATTTTTCTCTCATGCAGCTCTCAGTGAGGTTTAGTTATACCTCTTGTACTACAGTGGTAAACACCCGTCTGGGAACCTCAGTATTCCTGTATTGACATCCTTTTATTCTTAAACTGGTATTCTGTGTGAGAAATAAGGGCAGAGTTGGCTTTAACATAAGTCAGTGCCTAAAATCCCACTCATTTCACTAGTAATGAATTTTGTGCCTGTATCTGTACGCTTCTGTAATGAACAGGTTATTCTAGCAGCAGTGCTCAGTCCTTCTGTGGACAAAAGATACAACCAGCACCCACAGTTGAAATGAGACGTGGTACGTGTTAGGGGGGTTGGTGATTTGGAATGCTTTTAGGGTGGGTCGAATAATTCAGCAGGAGTTTAAATCAAATAATCCCTCCCTTCAGCAAGCCATGCTATCAGCTTGTTTTTTGTGCCTTCATTATCCCTTTCTATGGAGCACTGGTGATTCCAACTTATAGCACAAAGCAGTGATTAAGTAAAACTGAATGTCAGAATTTAAGTGTGGTGAATTACATGTAAAGCAAGTGTTTGTTGCATCCTCTTATATTGATACATGCATCACAGTGAGACACAGGATAAAATCTTATGGCTGGTTTGTGTACACACCACAAAGCAAGTCTGGGTGACATGAGTGCTTGCTAAAAAGCGATCTGCAAAGCCATTGTGAGCATCAGACGTGTGTTTAAAATCAGGTTCTTGGTTATCATGTCCCAGAACACGCTTTCCTTTGGCTGCCCCGCATGGATGAGTGGGCAGAGGCAGTGCTCTGGCACGCTGCTGAGCAGGGCAACAAGTCCCAAGGTTTTTGTGCCTCTGAGAATGCCAACAGAAGAGCCGCACAGAGCACATAAGAACTAGTAAGGATTGGCAAAGAATGTAGAAACCCAAGTCCTGAATACTGCCTGTAAGTGGTGTGCCTCTGCTGGGAGTGGCCCCAACATCTTCAGGATCTCCATCCATTCCCTTTGACAGCTAGATGTCTTCCAGGCCATACAGACGATGTCAACATGTGACAGAGCAGAGGATGTGTGCTGTGTTCGGCTTCTGTCACTGACCAGACCTTAAGGCGTAAGAAAAGCTAGCAGTAAGGCATTGTTGTATTGAATTAACTTTGTGCTTGCTCAACTTTTAAACATATGGAACTATTTTATGTGTAGGAAGAATCTCATAAAAGAGTGCTGTGTTAGCCTGGTTACTTGAGCATGCCGGAGCAGGGAGGAGAAAACTGCCTGGTTTTGTCCAGGGGGGAACCGAGTTTTGTATTTGCTTTTTACTGTACAACTGAATACTGCTTCTGTAAGGCAAATGTCTTGTTTTCTCTTTAGTGTGAATGTATACATCTGTTAGTTTGTGTCTCCCCAAGTGCTGTTGAGTTACTCGGTCTCTAATGAGTGTTGAAGAACTGGGTAAGAAATACGTAGTTTAAGGAGTAGAGGTCTGGGAGCCAGTAACTTGTGTTTTCCTTCCAACCCGAGCAGCTGGATGACTGAGGTTGGGTGCTGGAAAGTTGTCATGGCAGTGCTCTCAGTAGAACAGAGGTGCTATTCTTCATCATAAGAATGGTGAGAAATTGGAAGCAAAGCTTTGATTTTATTCATTTTAAACCTTGGTTTCCTATCATAGTTTTACTTTGTTAAGCAGAGGGTAAATTTAAGAGTAACTGGTACTACATTTGTCTTTTTCTGATAGTAGATATTTTTGGTAGGGTACTTGAGTTTTACGTATTTAGAATAACTTTCTCTTCAAAGTCTTCATCACAGCCATGTGTACGGCTGCTGTAGGACCAGACTGCATTCAGTGTGTGTGGGTGCAGGCAATGGTCTGCCCTTTGCTTTCCTCAAGGAGCGCATTGTTGTAAATCTGCCTTATAAACGGTACTAATTGTCATAAAGATGCATTGTTGAGGCTTTGGAAACTGTCTGTGTTTTGCTAATAAAAGTAATGGCTTGTTTAAATCATCTTAGAGCTGCTTTCAGGCATGCTTACTACATTCATTGGTGTGATGTGACAGTGGGATTAACGGAAGTGTCACTTAAAATATGAATCTTAAAAGTAAGGCTGCAATGCTATGTACTGCAAATCAGGGATTTAAAACTGACATCTGAAAAATGGAATCGTGTTAATGACTGAGGCTTATTCAGAACGGTTGTTGTGCTTAGTTTCCAGCCAGTACTTAGATGCAAGCAGCATTATGTAAACTCAGTTTGTACTTTTGCCAAAGCAAAGATCAGTAGGTCAAACTTTTAAGCCTGACCTTCTTTTTTTAATAGGTACTTCTTTTTTTAATAGGTACTTCTTTTTTTAATAGGTACTTCACAAACTCAGCTGCTTCCTTCATGCATTTTTGTTAGTCTTGAACCAAAGTAGAGAGAACTAACTTTTCTTGCCTGCTGCAGTGTGGTGATTAGGATTTACATCGCATGTGGGAGTCCTTCAGCTAGTTCTGGTATCCTTTTCCAGATGTTGCCCACACCCGTGTATTTCAGAAAAAGGTAACTGGAGTAATTCGTGGCTGAGGAGGAGCAGTAACCTGTGTAGAGGTTATGTACTG